CATTATGGTTGAGAACTGTATTAAGAGACGGGATAATGGACAAATTGTCTGAAAATATGTGTGAGAGAAGTTGACTTCTCCTCTATTCTTACTTCAGTGGTGCCCATCCATTACTATCCGGACTGTAATCAGCTTGTAGAGGAGTGGGTGACATCACACCTACAACGTTTATTGGGTTGGCGTCTCTTCAGTGGCTACTAGCCTTCCTGCAAAACCCAAGCGCTTTCGACAGAATCTCCAACCCGCAGCATTGGCACTCCTACCAGTGCCTTGCTGCTTGGTATTTAGCTGCGAAAACTAGAACAGTCGCCTTTCAGTATAGGCTTGTTCATACCCTATCCTGAAACCAAAAAAGCAATCATGCTTGAGACATTATGTGCACTGGAGGGATGCGAGACCGTTGGTACCATTGGGGGGACATTCCATTGAGCCAACGCACGAAGGCGGAGCCTTAGATCACAAGCAAACTAAAACCCTGTGCTAGTCATGTTTATTGTGGCAATATTTGAGTTCGGTGGGAGCTTGTCTTGCATGTTAGCAAGATCGCTAGAAACAGGAAATAGCCGCCAGCACCCAATCCGTCCTCCTTTTGCAGACGCATCAACTGATTGCCTTCTCACTGGTTTTAAAAGGAAACCAAGTGGAATTTGGTGCTAGCGGCTCGTTAATTCGGATTTTTTAGTCATTAAGCCTCTCGACATAAGTTGTTGCAATTTGTTTACGTTGATCTTCAAGGTCGCGGAGTCGGCCACATGGAGATTGCAAACGAGGTGATGTAAGCTGGGTCACGAAAATGGAATAATCGTCCGTCAATTACCCTTGGGATTTTCCTTCATACACCGAATGCATCGCCCATGTTCTTCAACAAGCCAGAGCTAAACACTTTTTCAGGCTACATATCTTTACCGGACGGTGAGGAAGTCATTCCAAATGCTCGTTAAAGAAAGGGAAACATGACAGCCAAGGTGCCCTAGTGAATTTCCACCGGCATTTCAGGAAAATTGTTGCTTCAGTCACCCCCTTTGGATTCCTTGATATAGCTTAAGTATTTGCATGCTCTTTGACAAAATTTGGAGTGTCAACTTCCTACGGTGCCTGCCGTCTTTGCCACTTTTAATTCATTTCATCTGATCACCACATTTGAGGTGCTGAATCCCTTATAGCACAAAACGTCTTATCGACACCGCAAATTTGTACAGTCTTGATCGACTTTGAATAGTCCAGTAAGTAACCTTTGCTAAAACCGAGAATTCACTATGCATTTGTTGCCTTAGCACTGAAGGCCGGCAGTGGGCTTGATATGACTCTATCACAGAGCAAAACCTGATCCGAGTTAACTCCTGATGGACCGTTATGCCTTGTAATTATTCATACCCAAAGACATAAGCACGTGTAACTTAACGCTGTGTATGAGCAGTACAGAACATCGCATCGATCTTTGCAACGCTCTTTGGCCACTTTCCGCCTATCTGACGACTTGTTTGATTGTATGGGCACTTTCACTGTTGTGGCCTCCACGCTCGTAGTCCCAGTGAGAATTTTTAGACCTTCTTTGCTCAAAATTCAACATGGATTAGACTTGTTGAATCGTTCTGTCGCAGCACTCGAACGGCTCCTGACACCGATGCAGTGTCTACAAGACAATGCTTCCAACGTGCAGGTCTTAAGCTGTTCATTGATGCTTTGAGAGGCTCCGCACTGTCAGCCAAGCTATGCATCAAAGCTTGAGTCCACTTTATATGAGCACAGTTTGTGACGCAACAATAATGGAGTTAAATCAGCTCAAAGCATTGTGCCACAGAATGCCAAAATAGGAATCCTTCTGCCCACTCTTGGCACCAAATTTATGCGTTAGACAAATACTGGGATTCTTTTACCTATATGACCAACTAATGTATCAAATGGCATATGAAGACAAGACACATTAGGACATGTATTGAATGCCTCTGTTCCTCTCATACAGCTGTGGACAGCTAGATTTGGACTGTTCATACATCCCACCAAGCGAATTGTGCAACAACTGTCCATAATCACTCTCAAGCTTTGGACCTGTCTAGACACAGTGGGAAGGCGTTACCTTTTTACTCCCCCAAAAAGTGGGAAAGTTGGATCGCTTCAATGCGTCACACCGCCATACACCAGTTCTCGTCAAAACCAGGTCAAGATTAAAACTACATACTCCTCAGTTGTCCACAGACCAGTCTTCGAGCTGACAAGCTCTTCACTCATACTATGTCACTCAGTGGAAAAGAATCATTGCTACAAGACGTCCCTACCCAACAATAGTGCCACCATCTACTGTTAATACGCCAGTCCTGTGTAATTCAAAATCCCAACCGTGGGGGTTGATCCGTTTACCCTCCGAACTTCACGCACAGCCGCCATTTGCAATCCTAATTAGATGTACCTAACTCCGCCTCCAACCCCCTTCTGTCCTCCTTCTAATTCTCAAACAACACCTTTATCTGGCAATGCAGCCTAACTACCCACTGCCTTGGGGATGGAGTGTAGCGCCAGAACGAGTTACTGCTTCCTTTTTCTGCAGCCAGTCAGTCCGAGCAGTTTAGTCACGACTCGGATTAGTCACTGGATTTTCGGACCTGTGAATCGTCACAATCTCACTGACTGGGATTGCATCCAACATTTTTCCACTCTAAAATATACGCAAATCCCCCAGTCATCATCAATGTAATATAAGGAAATAGTGATATTCAAAATTCCACTAGACACGGTAAGAGGGAACTCACCCCTAGTTCTGATCAGTGTTTAAGAAAAAACACTTCTGGAGAGGTCAAATCCAATTATAGGCCCAGTTACTAAGAGGAAAACTCGCCTTCAGCGATGCTGCAAAAAGACGGCAATGCAAGTCCAGAAAGGGGCGGGTGACCAAGACCTTGGTATCGACCCCCAATGTTCACCACGGGGAATCAAAATTTCGTGGAGCAGGAAGATGGGGAGAAGTAATACGACCTTATATCGTTCATGACCTCAAGGACCACTTTAAGCACCCTAAGTGGGTCCGACAGCATGGGCAAGACGACTTTTATTGGCCTAAATGGCTTGGCGACGAGTGCTAAGGTCAAATCGCTATTGCTTTCAATGGCTCTCAAGCCTCTGGGCCAGGGCTGCAGCATTAAATAGTTCAATGCTATCTACGTCCACCATTGAGTGAAGTGTTCATAGCTGAACCACCTATTCCCATTGACTCGGAGTTCCGTATTGAGCGCCGAAAGCGAAAAACATTGACTCCTAGCATGTGACTAACATAAGGGTGCTACATGTGACACAATTGTCAGTGCAGAAATACGCCAAAAAATCATATCGCCTATACTCCATTGAACTAAGAAATTGTAAAAATGCCATCAGGTCTCAATGCTAATGAGCTCTTAAAAACGACTCCTGAGTCGAACACAGTGATTGTCAGTTCGTGACGGTGAGCCGTTCAGAGGCGAGAGAATTGACTTTACCACACATTGTTGACTGTGAACATCCCCACAAGGCTTGGCGGAGAATGGATGTGCCAGATTTAATGCATAAACACTGCTGACCATGCGAAGCTCTGGGTATGCGAAAAGACGTGCCCAAAAGAGCAAACAGATCGCCAATCAAATCACGGTGATAAGAAATACCCTATTGCAGACCAACGCTAAAGCCAACTTTGCTCACGAGTAAACTAGAAAAACCGATCCTTCCCAACCAAACATCCTCCACTGAGACAACTTTAGACTAGAACTGCAGGGGAATAAAAGCAATATTCAGATGACGGGGGAAAAAGGATGCGAGTTCCCGCCAACTAAAAAAACGGCCTGACATAGATCCCATATGTCCAAAGTGAGGTTCCCATTTCGATAACGTCGCAGCTTTCAAGCAGATCGAACGAAACTACACAGAACACCAGTTGGACGTAATAATATAGCCTGACTGCACAAAATGCATGATTCACGTGCACGCGAAGGAAAAGGAGACAGGCTCAATTGTGCAATAAAGATTTCAACAAGCTCTCTTGAGCCTGCTTGAAGAAGTCAGCAAATGGAAGAACAGAAGACCAAAGGTAAACAAGACGAAAAGAATAGGGAAGATGGAGCAAGAGGCAAAGGCATGAACGACGTATGTACACATGCACCTAAAAAAAACAGAACGTGCTCTTTAAAGCACTGTTAGCAGCGTTAGCGGTTAAGGCGGAAGAGTGGGAAATCTCAACAAAATGCAGGGTGGAGAAGCATGACCAGTAGAGTAAGCGATGGGTTCAGAGACCTTCCAGGGAAAGTGCAGGAGCGACGAGTAACATGACAGTAAGGAAACCCCATCTGTCACCCCTAGAACTCTTCGGGTTCTTCGGGCCCCGGTGGAACAAAACCCTCCTACAAAGCAAGACGAGGTGAATATTGGTGGAGCGTTGGCAGTGCGACGAAACAGTTAGCCGCTAACCACTTACGCCCACGCGATCACAACCACACAGGCAGATCATTGATTTAAACGTCGCTCTAGCAACAAAACTGCTTTATGAGACCTCAGATCGTCAAACCCGCGATTCCACATCAAACATATAACAAGCAACCAAATTACTAAACGCTGAAATTTGAACAATAACACTAGTTGCATGAATGGGAATTACTAAAGTCATTATTTTTGTGTCAAGTGCGCGGTGCGAGCCACCGAATTGGTACCAGCATTAACTCATTCGTCGTCAAGATGTCTCCAAAAGCATATCTTAGTGCCAGATCCAATAGTTCACTGTTCTTACATTTTTATTAGGGTTGTCCAATGAGTAAAAATGTGAAAGTCTTTCAGTTAAATTTCTGCAAAAACATTAAGACCAACTGAAGCATGGAGAAAACGGAGCATGAAGCTAATTCTAGAGCTACTGACCTTTGCAGCATCAACGGGCTCTTCGCCTGAGTTCACCTGCAGTTTGTAATCGACAGGATGCAAACAAGTAACGAAACAATGATTACACCCGGATGACTTTCAGCAAGCCCACATTAGGCAGGAGTGACATGTTAATGTGAAACACTTACCTCAGTTGCATAAAGAATGTCGAGAAACTTTTTAGCAAATTCATTATCCCCCATGCCTCGACACAAATCCTCAATATCGCGAAGTTTACTAAAGTAGAAATCTCGCTCCTGCACGAGACCCTCGATGGTCCTGCGATCCTCTTCCGCCTGAAATAAGACGATACGGTGATTACAACTATTGTAGACACAGATGCTGCCAAAGTTAAGGAAGCATACCTGAGAAGTTAAGTTTTCGATTTCAATACGAAGAGCGTTCATCTGCATGGAATCACCGGAACTCTGAGCATTGGTACGAGGCGCTGAGGAAGAGGAGACCGTAGATCTTGCTGAAGCAGCATTTTTTGTGGCAGCTGAAATTGTAAAAGCCATTGAGACAATGACTCCAGCTAGATTGAAAAAGACATGAGAATGAGGCGCACCTGGACGAGAGTCACTGGTTCTAACAGTGGTTGGAACGGATGTCCGAGGAGGGACTGGACGAGGCCTAGCAGAGGGCTTTTCGTGGCTTCTTATTTGTTCACCACCGCGAGCAGCCAGAGCGTCATAAGGCTGACCGGTGTAATTTGCATCATAAAAACGCTTGAACCACTGAACAAACTCAAAGTTGTCTTGGTATTTCCCTTTCACAAGTTTTTCAATCGGAACTTCCTAAAGCACTTCGACAGATTTCACTAGCATACCTTATCAACCCCCAACTTCTTGAAAATGGCCTGCAGCTGCTTGAAGTTGGCTATGTACTCATGCTCCAAGTTTGTGTTGAACTTAATTTTTTTAAAGTTAAGCACACCAGGAAACAGCATATCCATCAGTTGACAGTATGCAGCTCCTTAAGTAGAACAAAGAAACATTTACAATATTTGCCAAGGACGGTAACCAATTCACAATTCAAAACTAACCGGTACAAAGTTCCTCTATTTTTCCATAGCTGGATTCCAGACAAGTGTTAATCCAGTTGAGAATGTCATGTCTGCTGAGATTATCTGCAGTTTGATTAGTACTATATACGTTCGTAGCTTGAACAGACATTGTCAGACAGATTCAAAAACAAATTCACGCAATAGGTGCACGTCCAAGAAGGCCGGGAAGCCGACGGATAAAACAAACCAACAAAAGGTATTAATGTAAGTTCATATCTTCAAGTAATATTCAAACCTCATTTATAACATGTGTTCAAGTCATAATGTATTCGTAACTCAACTTTGAGCCTGCCAACATTATTCTTTGTCGAAGCTGTTTCCAAGTCAAATTTATGAAAAAGATTTGTTCTTTTAAATTCGAATTCCGTGTGACATTTAATTGTAAGCTTATGCTAATTTTCTTATTACAATTTACATCCTACAGTATAATTTACCGTCCCCTTTTTGTTTTTAGCTCGCTACCAAGAATCTGGCAGTAGATGTGCTACGTTTGAACACTAGACAGTATCAAATAGGTCGGAAAGCAAATAAACTTCACAAGAAAAATGTCCAGTGTTTCCGAGTGGTCCGTTTATGATTCGTTACCCATGAAGTAAAAGACCAATTCACTCCACAGACCCCTTCTCCTTACATTTGTTACTAGTGATGCTTAATTCTACCATATATGCATCATTTATTAAAGGGCACCAAGCATATGCTTTGGATGTCAAATGTAAAAGTGTACTGGCCTTAATTCATAAGGCAATCTGAAGCGCCCTACCAGTAGCATTCGGAGACTTCCTATTAGGCAGAAGGAGGCCTTAACTTGGGCTGAATTAATGCGTTCCGAGAGAATGAGAAGGGATTGGACCTTGCCTTGGCATGGTCAGCCCACGCATACAGAGGCAAATAGATTAACAAAGTCATTGCTAGACGTCGTCTGGTCACACGAAGCATAACACTAGCAATCTGAAAGATCTCTGTAATGCTTTGATTATATAATCACTGGACACTTGGCGGTCACTTTAGAATTTTTCTGGCCCTTGTACACATGAGCTGGCCTTCGGGCCACACTCAAACTCTATTAGCTCTGCCGTCTCCGGAATACATGTATTCAACCTCATTTATATCTTTTTCCACCCTATGGGAAGCCTCGGATCGCTACAATCTCGTTTGGGATATGAAGACAGAATCGACCAAATAGATTTAGAAAGGAATCAAGATGTCCACAAAAGTGATCGCAATAATTGTTTTATGTAACCGTTTTATAAGTAACGGCTTCTTTGCCCTTGTACGCGTGAGATGGTCCTGAGACCATATCAAGTCCCTATCCCATTTTCTCGGAACTCATGCTGTAGTGTCCGGAGACTTCCTACCGAGTGGAAGAAGGCTGTAAGTGAGGCTGGATACATTTATTCCGAAGAAAGCGAAGCGACTAAGCCTGAGCTCGACCCGAAGACCAGCCCACGAGTACAAGAGCCAGATATATATTAAAATAAATGCCAAACGTCAGGTGGTCACACAAATAAAGCGCAACACTGCCACTCTTTTCGGTTGGACAACGTCCTCGGCGTTCCCCTTGGTGAACCTCCCGCGTCAGCCATCACAACGTATCCGGTACTACAAGAAAGCACCCACGAGTCAACCGCGTCTGCCAACAGTCACCATGAGACCAAAGAACTGTACTCGGTCTCCTCGGCAACTTCAACCGGATCAGGAGTTACGTTCGGTCTGACAACCAGATTCGGGGTCGCATACATCTGTTAGCCATCAAATGATTCCAGGACTAGTCAGTGGAATTCTGGTCTAAAACAGAAATGCTACAGAGGAAACGGGATGAGCCACTGTCCCGTATATAAGGAGAACCGTAGTGCCATTTCCGACACCTAAACACGGATTTTGTATAGGAAATCCTGACAATAAATTGTTCTAGATGGTTCACGACGGTGTCGTTTCAGTCGTTAGTAGCTTGTCTGTGGAACACGGGGATAAGGTGAAGTTAAACCCAGACGTCAGTCTGAACTCTTTTGTTATGAAGGCTTCAGAGATTCTCCTGCCACCGATGTGAATTCGCCCTCTCCAAACCGTAGATACATGCAATGAACCGCACGTGCTAAAGTAGAACTCTTTTAAAATATCGGGTTCGTTTTCTGCTGCCACCAGTGTAGCGTCCCGAGACTTCCCATAGGGTGGAAGAAGGCAGTAAGTGAGACTGGACACGTACTCCGAAGAAGACGAAGCGACTATGCCTAAGCATGGCCCGAAGGCTAGCCCACACGTACAAGGGCCAGAAAAATCTTAAAATGACCGCCAAACGTCATGTGGTCACACAAACAAAGGATTACACATGCATTCCGCCCAACTTGATGCCATTTTCTACCTGGAGAAAGTCTCGGTACGCTACGGTAACCATCCTTTGTCAATTTGCTGTATTTCCATTTATCTTCCGTCTAAATATCGGAGACGTGGGTCTATTATCTGTTCAGTTAAGCAACAAAATTATAAGAACAAGATAGATGGTTGCATCAATGCTATTTTAAAACGTAGTATTTCAACGTCTCCGCGGGTTGATCGTAGCCAACTCTTTGGTCCTGCTATAGAATTAAACTGTTGGAAGGCCTCGAAGTTGCAGGCAGTGTGTTAATTAAGCACTTTATAAAACAGGTTCAGGCATTCGAATCGAGGAAATCTGTGCACTACTGCATCCTGAAGTACTTCTCATCTTATTTCTTGTTACCATGGTTTCAGTATCCTTGAAGAAGCGCGCCTATCAAATAGTAAGGAATGGGATGTTCGTATTCGCTTGCCTCAGAGGTCGCAAGAGTGCTTAATTTAAGGATAAAGGTAAATAGTCGTCGATATTTTAGTCATTCAACTTATACTAACTTTTAAAAACTAGGATTGGTGACAATGTTTCTTGTTGAAATCATATCATACCGACCTCTACGGCATCTCATTGGTCTCAGATTCGAGATTGTAGCCCCTTAAGACGAAAGATGAAGTAGGCACACTGACATCATCTAAAGGACAGACGTTTCGGTGAAGAAACAATGGCGCACTTTTATGCAGCTAGAAAATGACTCAACAAGTGAGACCTTACACAAATCAAATGTGCTTAACATGTTGCTGGTGTTATGCACCAGGAGGATCACAATTTTTGTGGAAGTTAGCCTTCGTGCAGTGAATTACATGGCTCATCCGCAAACGCATTTATTTATTGCTAGTATTCAACCAGCATCGCCCAAACTTACGTAGCAGATGCAAAACTCAGGAAAAACTGATTCACTGATTGCACCTGAATTTTTCACCCATGAAGTGAGTTGTCCGAGAGAGAGGTCAAAGACCTTTCACCACCTTCCACCTGCCCCAATTGGAGATTTTCGTGAACTACACCTAACAATACCAAGGCCACCGCTATGCATTAGCGTGAACGATGACCATAGGGTAAACAAATGCAGTTGTTTGTGGCGCGTTAACAACCAAGACTGATGACAACTTCATTAAATAGTCAATCGGTATGTTTATTTCAAAGGTTGGTAAAATCTATTTCAAATATTTTGTTTGCCCTTCCATATGTCTGCTTCACTTTTTGGAAATCGTGACTCTGCGTCATATAACCACATGATCTAATGGCTTGCTTGCTTCTCACTCCATTGTTGTTGTCTGCAGGTATCATATCGGCATTTTCATTTCGATGAAGCAAGGAGCTCCGCAAAAACTTTACTCGATGGTTCGCGTCCGGTCTCTCTCTATTTGTCAATCACACCCCTTCAGAACATAGGATTGGAGTATTTTTCAAGGGTGGACGTCATTTACGACCTCTTCTACTTGGGGTCGTCAGAGGTCCTAGAATTCATAGTAAAACCCTTCCTCCATAACTTTTGGGCTCAACATTTTATGCTAGAAATCAAAATTATCACGATATCGCCAGTTGACACTCCAAGACTTCCTCGATGGTAGGGGAAGATCGACTTCCTTGGCAGCACATGCATTACTAACGGAGAGTGATGCGAATGACGACCATGTCTCCGAGCGAACGTACAAGAGCGTAGTTCCCATTGCCTGCGGAACTGAAATAAGCCAGCAGTTGATTGGGTCAGTTACTTTTGCACGATATTCACGATCTCAACAACACCTTAAAGTTGCATCATTCTGCCGGACCAACTCTCCAGCATCACCGTTTTATCATGTCATTAATGAGTGTGCTGCCTCTCTAGGAAGAGTGGAAATGCTTCTTTAATGCTAGCTTGAGTCACACGAACCCAGATTTTTGTCCTATTGTCAGTTTTAACACGGAAAAAGAAAGCTTTACCGCGCTGACCGAAGTGAACGAGGGTTAAGCAGATTCGCGAGGTTGAGTATGTGGTGGAAACCGGTACAGCTGTACAATCTAGTAGCTCCTGCCTTTTCATGGATCTTTGATTGACTTTGAATGTACTATGCGGTACGACCGTTGCTACCCTTGTGGTGGTACATCGCAGTGCATTGCAAGATGGGAAGACGTACCAATAAAACAGGAAATTGGTGTCTTCTTCATATCCTAGCCTTATTTATACTTCGTGTAACCTGGCTTTGGTAGGGCGACCATTTGTTGTAAATAAAATTTCAGTCTTGTTGAGAGGGTATAATTGTTCGGACCTCAGGAAAGCGGCGTCACCATTCCTTCCCATATCGGTTACTCTGCGCTTCGAGGCACCTTCACCACTGGAAACATTTTGGGACTTTGATGCTCCAACTTGAAGCATTTTCGTAATCTACCTATCTTGAAAATATTAAGCACTATTTTCTTTATTTCCTTTCTATGCAAGAGAGTGGACTTGCATGCATCCTTGTTGTTCTATGGTTTCTTTTGATGGGTCCCTCCATATTCTGCTATCATTAGTACACGTAGCCATCTTGTCCCTAGCAGAGCATGTAAACGAGGCTGGAGCATCCAAATTTTATGTCTCTTCTCCTTCCCACCAATGTCATCGTCAGGTCGCCTTCAGAGAGCGTCATGCGACAAATTTTAACTTGATAGAGGAAGAAAATACGTTGTTGAAGGAAGATTTGATGATGATCTCTGGCAGGAAGGTTGAAAATAACGTTCAACTTCGGCAAACACCTCTTTTTTGGGCTCTGGTAAGGTGATATTTGCGACTAAAGAGATGGCAACCGTGAACCATGGCGTCAAATTCGTTATGGCGCATCTGTGTAAAGATGTCAACTGAGTGATCACTCAACACTTCCTCTACTTCCCCACTAACCAGATAGAACCCACGTAAATATAGTTGGGCGGCATTGAAGTGCAAACAAAGTTGCACCCATCTCCTTCTCCTAAAGTAGTTCCCAGACACGACGAAAGTCCAAATCGAGTAGAATTGAAATTAGGTGTTTTTGACGCTGGAGTTGGGCATCTTCTCAGAAGCATCCAAATTCGTCTGCTTTCTTGGTTGGCTCGTGGGTGGATTTTGGATACCACCGACTACATTCTTATAACTGATGCTGGAGGACGGCAAAGAGGAGCTTTGAGGATCTTCGGTTTGGTTACACGGAAAATCTAAACAGCAATTGTGTATGCTCCGAATGGGCTGACACCTCTAGACAATGTTCTAGTTTCTTAGCACGATAGGTGAATCTTACGGCGTCGAAGTAAAACAAATCGCCCGTATTCTTGGTATGCTATTTCCATACATCGAGGAGGTTTGCTCCTCAACATTGACAGGCTTTGAGGCATTATACAACTTGAGTTTGAGGTGACAATGCACAGTTAAGTAGTTGCTCCTGATGGCTTACTTGCGCTGTCATTCTTCTCACCCTCAAACTAATAAACTTTTAACATCTTTGGTGCATTCTAGGAGCTTCAAAATTTGCAAGGTATTTCAAAAGCCACTCCAAAGTGAGCATTTTTTGGTGCGAGTTTGGTGTGGTGCGATATTTGGTCCAGTCTACGCAGCTACACTTGATTTCAAAGAGTAGTACGGTTTACTCTCACCTCATCACATCCTATGTATCACTTCAAACGTAACATTTACCAGGATCACATAGTCAAAAGTTAAGCAAAGCATGATTGCAATCTCAGCAAACAAATTACTTGTTCTTGTCCTCTCGACATTTCCGTCGAATTCGGAAATCAAGACAGTCAGGACAAAGAGTTGTCCAAGCACAATTCTAGTGCTCATCCACCGTCCACTTTAAAGGTGTTGTAAGAGTGCATGGGCAAGAGGTGGAATTGGTGATGTCGTGTAGTTAGGATGGAAATCACTTTGTTCCTCCGTACCTTTCGTACTTTCTTCACTTTTGTCAGGACGGAGCATCAAAGTCCCCATTGCCACTAGCACATCTTATTGATATCGTCTATTTTGTCAGCTCAAGGATCTTGAGCTAATGGAAGTGACAATCGTGACTTCATTGCATTAAAGGAGTAATCAAAAAATCTACAGAGACTGGTGTTGTAAATACTATCGCTTACAAGGGCAGAAATGCTTTCAGTTCCAGTTTCAAATAATCTCTGTGCCAAATAAAATTACACACTTTAATCTTCCACATCTCTGCTACAAGCCACTGAGTGGAGGCGGACGAAGGCTTGGCCCTCCTTTTAATGAGCTGTTAATTGCCACCTCAACCACACCACCATCTTGAGGGGATGATGGGAAAAGGTGACAGCTCCGCGCCTGAAGTAGGAAATTCGGTCATCCTCGCCACAAAATCTAGGCAGATTTGATGAATGAATTAAAACCTTTAAGAGATCGTGGTCGCCTCTGAGTTGTGTCTCTAAATTGCGAGACCGATGCGAATTTCACATGCCTGAAATTAGATTTTAATCTGCAGCCACCATCATTTCCAAAATTGTGTGGTTATCTGATAAGTGAAGTTGCCATGTCAGACATGCAGTCTTTGCCGCTAGGCAGCTTCCTTAAGCTTTACTAACGGTGAAAGGAAGAGGTAGCACGGGAAGGGAAGGCACGAGGGCGACGTGCGAAGGGGCTGTAGAGCTACCAGCATGGCCCCGAGCGAACGTCGGTACCTGAGTGGTTATGCAAAAGTGGTTTGTCAAAGGGTCCAAATTTTACCCGGCCTTCTAACGCCTTGAGTGTCATCCTGAAGTTCCCTTCGGCTGCGACCATCACACTGCAGTCAGTCACATTTTCTTGAAACTTTGGAAAACTATAGCAGCTTCACTGATCCTTCCACTGAAGATGAATACTTTGTCCCGTCCTGCAAGTGTACTGAATAATGACTTAAAAGCAATCACTTACTTAAGAGTAAAATAAGGTCATACGTCTGTTATATCTCGCCGCCTTGTTTTACTTCAATTCTACCCACTCACAGCTGTCTGGGGACTGTTCACTTGGTGGAGGTTGAGGAGGTATCACTTGCTCACCGCGCTGACATCTTCATGCGGTACTGACCATTCCACCAGTGGACAAAATTGCAGTAATTGTCAAAAGTGAACACCCTTTTCATTCCTATTGCTGGAAATCCTTCCAGATTCTCCCATTCACGCAAAATGTCCTCCTTCCGTAGCACCCGGATTTGACATTCAAACTTGTCTTTGGAATACAGCTCGCTTTTGCTGCTGCAATTGTAGTGCCCGAGATTTTTCCAAAACCAAACCTTCAGCTTATGCTCAGGCGGACACTTGTTTCCTATGCGGTGAAGGATTAAAGGCCATGCTTGTAACGTCCTGAGACTTACCACATTGTGGTAGAAGACGTTGGGTATGACTGAATGCCTGTATTCCAAAAGAAAAGGAAGATGAAGAGCTTTGACATGGCCCGAAGGATAGCCTAATCAGAAAGGTTTTTGCGAACACCAAAAAATAACCTTCAGCCACATAGGCGATGCCTTCGTGCCATTTGCCACAGAATATTCGATGCTGCAGAACAGCATCAACGAGACACTTGCACCAGTCATCAGCTCCTTTAATGTATTTGGCCTTCTCAGCAGCTCCGACTTGGTCCGGAGTTGCGTTTGGTCTGAAAACAAGGACTAGGAATGAGAACTTCTGGCCTGATAAAGAGGCATGACAGGGAAAGGAATTAGAGGCCAGTTCCAGGTCATCATCAACTGGACAATATAACTTTGCCAAATGACTCACGACGGTGTGGTCTCAAGTGTTATTAGCTTGCCAGTAGTACACTGGAGCGAGATAAATACCATTCGCAGTCCTCCCGTTGTGGAGAAGTTAGAATTTTCCCCACCCGAAGCAGATGCTCTTAATATGCACCACAGAAGTTTGTCACAAACGGTGCAAAGCAGTAGAGAAATCGCAGCAAAGTAGGGTTCACCTTCCACTGCCACCGAGATTTCTCGCTTGGTACTAGAAGGTGTTAGGTAGGGTTTAATATTTGGCGAGGGCAACCGCTAGTCATCTAGGCAGTTGAATAAAGAATGCATCATAATGCTGTTCAGTGCCTACTAAAGCCAAGACAACGGGTTAGGCTAATAATCACATCGTAGCATGTGGAGGAAACGGTTCACAAAAAAACGGGCACCTGGTCATGCTAATAACACTGATTCCTTAGGCTTTGTTTTGGTCCAATGGATAACTTTGTACCCGCCTCTCACTTTTACTTCAATAAGGAACTTTCTCCTGTCTCCTAGTGCCTCTGTTCAGATAGTGTACCGTACTGGTCCCTGTTTAAATCAACTGCTCGCATTGTCGTGGGTCAGATTTTCTCAAAATGCACCAGCGGTGTGACGGTGAGCACCACAATATGAAGTGGAGGGATTGTGTGACAGATCAATGGACCCGTCAAAGCCCTTTAAGGCACACAGCAGTGTGTTACCTGCCAGACATGCTTCAAAAGCTTTTACAAAACAGCTTACTGCAGTGGTATCAAGGCATCGCCTCTTAAGCATGACCTTTGTAACAAATTACGAGTTTTAAAACAATTTCTCCGTTTTCGTCCTTTCTCCTCATTCTTTAGTAATCATGCCAAAAACTATGAAACTGTACATATCGTAAACATACGCACACCCATTTACACGGTGTGTCGATCTAAACACTCCATACTGCCCTCCCGAGTTTCCACACCGGCAACCTGTCTAATCAACTACGCTGTCGGCTGAGTAGTTGACCGGCTGCCGTTCATACACAATGCGGTATGATTGATGTGACCCCTGATCAGTTGTCATGCGATTACCTATGCACCCCTCCACCTTATCGTGGAGGAAGTTGAATTATGAAGTCGGGTGGAGAGGTAGAGACCACTTCAACTTGCGACTGGTTTTCGTGCTGGGGAGTCAAACTGGGTTTAACGCCATGGTAGCAAAGCTCAAGACAGAAGGTAGAGATGATGGATGGTGTTGGAGAGCGCACTCCTCCTACGTATACCCAAGTGCTATGTGTTGAAAAATGAGGAAAACCCAAATCTTAGCAATGGGGCAACCTCACCATCTTCACAAAATCCCACTTAATCACAGTTTCGAAGACATTTTTTTAGGACTTAAAGCTATCACACTTGTCAATAGGGAACAAGGATTCAAATGACCTCAAACTCGTACACTTAATCGCAAATATAAAAGCAAGGCGGTCTAGAAGCTTGCCTTCTCAGCTGCGTAATACTATAAGGATGACTTTTTTTATTCCAGAAACCCAGATTAACAGTACAAGTCATTTCTGATGATGTTATAGGTCAGAAGCGCCGATACATTCATACTCGATGGATGCAAATGAACGTTGAGGCTACACTACCAGAAAGGTGGAACGTTACTTTCTTTTATCTGTAAACAGTTGAATATCTAAGGTGGAGCAGTCGGCACCAAAGGTATCACATTACCTGGCACACCCCGTCGGTAAATATGCACAATTGAGCGGTTAAGATTATATTCACTTAGGTTATCAGACAGTATCAAGAAGCTGCCATGGCAAAAACGTAGTTCCAAGCCTTTAAAGGGTAGTAATTGGCCATATTTAGTGAAGCCCATATGTAGTAGAAACAGTCATGCTTATCCTCCACGTTAATTGGATACTAGGGGCGAAGAATTCATTGGTTAATTAGAGGTCATTATCTTAAGTGCTCATTGGTTCCCTATGCTGATTGGCTGACGCGGTCATTGCCATGATAAGTTAGTTGTACCACTCCGCCAATTGATTAATTAGCACGCGCCATAGCGGTCCTGGGGCTGCTGCATTCCCGTGAGTTCACATTTCTCGTCTCCTCATTTACTTAACTCCATTTGATCATGAAGAAGCCGAGTCAATGTCACCTTTGATGGCTACATTCACTGTAGGCTTTTGTAGTGCTGGTGATCTGAAAGTGATAACAACTACTTTCCACCGGTCATAGTTTCCATAGTTAAATTGCAGTAAGCCTCCCTCTCAGCTTTTCACACCATTATGCATTGTTACGGCCTCTAATATAGCAGAAGTGTTGAAAGATTTTGCCCCCTATCTTTTTTTTGGTTTTTTGCTTTCGCCTCATCTTCAATTTGGTAGCAGTGCTAGTCGCACAACAGAATATGGCGTCCGTCAACTGCTTTAAAAAGGCGGCCATCGGGATTGGTACTGTGGCTGCGATCAACCTTTTCATCACAGTGCTTTTGCTCATCCTCTATGGTACTTTCGATCAACTTGTTGATCGCATGATCCGCGCGGTACGTCGTGCTATTCATTTTTTTCCCAACCACTTATTTTTGGAGTATGGAGACGATAAGGTAGCATCACTTTAACCGAAAATGTCCTTTCCTTCATTGGAAAGGGGACATTATATGATATTGTGCAAATGCCATTACAAACGATTGGCAACTATTTTAACACCTTTGCAACTAGCACCATAGGCGTGCGAAACTTTGACGTTCCATGACCCTGACGCCATGGCTCTGTGATGGCCAGGGTCTGCTCACAAATATGTCACATATAAATTCAACGAAGCAACCACAATTATTTGTCGATGCGATAAAGCCTCTATCTGCAGCATCCAGTTAATGGAATCTGATTTTCCTTCTCCTACTGTTTGCTCATTCACTAAAAAATAGCTTCGGCTTCCTAGACTCTGTTTGCGCTTACTCCCTTCAGAGAAAGGCGATAACTTATTTTGATTAAGAAGTTTTCAGTGGGAACCATTTAGCCTTAGCATGCTTCTAGGTGTTGCATTCATTTCAGAGCGTCGTCATAACACCTACATCTTCCGTCTACTCGAATTGGGTTTCACCAGACACGCCCATCTACTTCTCCATCTATCTCTTCAATATCACTAACAAAGATGACATTGAGAAGGGATCGAAACCGAGGATCGAACAAATTGGACCTTATGTCTACATGCAAGTTTAAATTTGGCCTTAAAATGTCTCACTTTGAAGAGGTCGAATTTTGAAATCCGGAGACGCTTGATCAATGCTGATACCGATAATTTTCAGTCTCTTTGGAAACTGACAATGTTTCTGATGATTGTTTCTTAATTGCAGGGAAAAACGAGAGAAGACGAACATCACGTGGCCAAAAGGCGACTATTCTCAAGTCTCCTACTATCAGCGTCTAACTTTTACTCTGAATCGAAACCTTTCAGTTGGTGACCCTGACAAAGACATTGTTATTGGAATTAGTATCCCCTTTGTGGTGGGTTAACATCTCCCGCTCGAATAGAGCCATGACCACATCTGTCTTCCTGCTGTTTGCCCTTCACAGACCCTAGCGGCTAATATGGACACTGAGACCGGGCTGAGCGCAGACGAGTACGCTCTCATGACAATCTTTGTGGAGCCAAAACTCTTTGTCGAGACAACTGTGACCGAGTTCCTTTGGGGCTATGTGGACCCTATTACCGACGCCTGCAATGCCTTCGACTCCAAGAATTGTCCATCTCACAAAGTTGGTGTCATGTTCGGTGTAAGTTCGCGGCCTTTTATTTCAAATGATTGGGTGAATAGTAGCTGCAGGTCAACTTGTGGAGCTGCATAGGTTAATGTTTGCATTATGTCGGAGGTAGAGAACATTCATCTTGACCAAACAAAACACCACTTAGTAATGTTGCTGGGCTTTGTTTGACATATGAAGAAGATTGCCGAAAGCTCAAAGGCAAAATTTGTGCAAAAGACCTTCTTTTTGTGTTTAAAATCCTTGATCTCGTTAACAATGGCAGGTAGACGCGAACTTTGACCCTAAGAGGCCGCTTTCATATCAGCTAAATTATTCCCTTGGTAGCAAATAATTGATAATGACATTTGTCAGAGTGAATCGTCAAAAGGAGTCCACTGAATTACTGCTTTTCGACTGTCTTCTTTTTTTCGCAGAAAAATGGTACTGACGACGGACCTTTTGTGATTGACACAGGAGTCAACGATGCTACCAAACTTGGAAATGTCCTCTCCTATAAGAATAAAAGGTGAGTTTGGACTGAGAATAATTTTTGCTTCATTTTTCTTGACTTCTTTTAGCCTCCCTTCTCAAATGAATTTCGAATACTTTTTACGTGGATATACTACTGAAATATCCCTTAAACAAATAAGTAGACAGCTTCAATAACACTTTTTCAGAGGTCTGTTCTCAATCAATTCGAGGTTTCCATCCCCTTCATTTCATTTCAGCACTCTTAATGTGTGGTCCTCCGACGAGGCCAATCAAATTAAAGGAACTGGTAGGTTTACATCAGCACAAGCTGAAATGGCTTTACTCCATATCGTATTTCAGTGATTTACTTGCCTCCTCTCAGATGGATCTCAAGTAGCACCGGGTTTGAGAATGAATTCGAGGCCATTCATTTTTGCTGCCGATCTTTGCCGATCTTTTGAAATGCTAGTGAATGGAACGGGGAAATTAACCAACTCCGATAAATTAAAGGTGAGCTCCAGATGACTCCTTCTGACTGGGTTTTTTGAAATTTTTAAAGCGATACTCAATCTATTTCAAGCACATCCGAAAATCGCTTTTGAGCACCAACAATAAGGAGTAGAGGCGAAGAACCTAATCTATACGGTAGTTTTGTGCACCCTACCGACCCCAGAAGGTCTACCTATCCAGCTTACCTTTTGACGTATACTGAGGTGTGTTTTAAAAGCTTTGGGGTGTACTTGACACTATTGTACAGCAGGAGTTAATTTTGATGGCAAAATAGCCCTGTATTTCTTTAAAACATCTCTGCCATCTAGCCGAAGCAGAACAGGCCATGGTGCGGTGGAGAGAGAAGAAGGGGTTTGATATAGTTGTGTGTATGTTTACCCGCACGACCATGTGGGTGAACTTACTCCTGTACTTTTGTGATCAGCTGATCAAATATTATCAACAAAACAAAATCCTAATGAGGAGCTCCCAGATCATATTTTCAGACTAAAATATGTCTTCTACAGACTAGAATCTTCCCATTTCTGTCTCCTTGTATTTCATTTTTCCCACCCATGCATTGACATCCAGCGAGAGCTGTGCCAATGGTTGTCTGCTGTCTCTGAAAGGTTGGCAAAAAATTGTCGAACAAGGAGATGCAATGTTAACAGAACAAACTTGTCGACAACCTTCAATGCAGTGTCTATTGTGCTATTCAAAAGGCTGTCGTGCAATAACGGCCATTACGTGCCTCACAGTTGTTCTGTTAGCCTGGTAATTGTTATGAGAGTCTGCATTTTGGATAATTGTACTATTGTGTATGTCAAAAGCAACGGTTGGTGCTATCACTGAGACCGTCAACGTAGAAATAGAAATTGGTGAGATTGTCGACACTATTTTGACTATCAAAGGGAGGGAATTACGTCGATTCGCATTCCTCGCACTTCCGCCCAAATTAGTCGCCTTCGCATCCACCAACTGGTTAAAATGAGTTGTCAACGTTGCGTTAACTTCAGATATTCATTCCTTGGTGAGGTTAGTGATTTTTCATCATTTATTTAATCACTCCTCTCTGTAGGTCCTTGCTCTGAGTGGCACACCAGAGACTGCACAACCGGCCTCGGTAAATCCGTCCAACAAGGGCTTCTGCCCACCGTTGACACCCGGTCCCCCTTGTCCGCCAGCTGGCACCTTTGACCTTTCCTCTTGCCGTCGACAGGGGGGTTTGCGACCCCCAATCTACAGCTCCCAGCCCTATTTCTTTGGAGCTGATCCAAAACTTAGAGACGAGGTGGAGGGCCTACCCATGCCTACGTCTGACAATGCCTCCACAAAGGTCTTCGTGGAACCGGTGAGTTGACAACCTCTAAGAGATGCATAAATAAAAATTTTGTCAACTAAAGCATCCAAACACACTTCCACAAGCACTAGACATCCAATTACTTCAAAATTTTGAGTACTTTTTGCTTGTCATAGGACACTCCTATTATCAAAAGCGTAGTTTCACAGCCCAAATTTGAAAGAGGAACCCAAGTATGCTGGTAGCTATGCATATCTATTCTCGTTGTGCTTGGTGTAAGTGTGACCATGCTGGTTCTTTTATTTCCGCTACACCACTAGCAGTACAGACAAGGAACGAGTGACAGCGGGGTGGTGGTGCAGTCATTCTTCACAACCACCATCATTACTGTTGAACTGAGGAAGCGGTGTTATGTGAATGAACTGCTGTTGACTGGAAAGAGATGAGAGGAGCACACTAAAGTTGAAATGGGATTAGAAAGTTCATAACAGCGGATGTTAGCACTAGTGCTCGTACACACTGCAGTAAGCGTCAGTAAGGGTAGACGAACCAGTCATGGGCCCCCACACATCCACCCTTTGTCCATGTATCGAGCCATCGCCGTACCACATGGACGTGCCAGCTGCATGGGCTGACAAACAATGCTTACTGTGAACAAAGGTATGATAATTAAGGATTCCTGCAGGCTTTCGACAATTGTGGAGGGTGAATGCTTTGAAGATCCATGCCCGAAATCCTCTAACTGGAAAGGTGAGCATGAAATTCTGACACATTGGCACATATCAGGCGCCTTGGATGTCCCCATATGATTCAGACTTGTTGATAAATATGTTTCACCTTTGCAAGTCTTGATTCAAAGATGGCAAATTCGGCCGTCGTAGTTCGAGTTGAAGTTCAAGTGTCCTGATCACAGTACGTATTTCTGCGGAGACAGTCATTGGAAATATCTCTATGATGGTTTAAAATAACCACTTTCAAAAGAATAGTGTAATTTGAGATCTCAACAAGCAGAAAAATATGTTGTTTGAAGCCTTCCAAGGGCGAGCACGTCTAATTCCACCGTCTGTATGGAAGGTCCGGAAGAGGCCACTGCCAGTAGATATCAGGACACTTCTTCACTTCTTTCTCCGTGTTTGGAGCTGCAGCATTGAAGCTTCAATTCTAAAAACTCTGGAATTTTGATTCCTTTTGTTTTTATGGCCCCGAATGCAGACACAAGTCATGTTAAAGTCCACCTGCATTGCAGAACCACACAGATAAGCTATCATGTTGGCAGTGTTAATGACTTGACATCGATTGGAACTTAAGAGAATGGATAAATATCAACGTGTCACTGCGACATTTATAAGAAGATCTCCACTTGGCAATCGGTGTTAGAGGTGACAGCATCAATGGGTGCATATGTGACCAGACATCGTGACTGAGGGCAGTTGTCATGTCATTTCAGCTGAGCACATTGCTGACACCATAACCTTGTTGTTAAAGCCGACCCATCAACCTTTTGTTACATTCCCTTGATCACCTATTTTAGAAACTGGGACTGGTTGTTGAGGCCTACAAACGTCTCCAAATCACCGTCTACGTGCGTCCTTCGAAAAAAATGTCGTAAGTTGGCGTTATTAGGGAAGAGGGATAGGGCTTGTCCATCTAGACGTTTCAAACCGGGCTACACAAGTGGAAATTGTATTGGCACAAAGAAATGGACAAAATGCGTAGTAAGTGGGCAAATAAGCCGGACAAGATCAACTACTCGTTTCGGGAGGGTCACTTTCTATGGGGCAGGTTTTGAGGCTCCATACGGTGCAATGAAAATGTCTCCCACTTGTGATGAAGAGGATGCATAGGCGACGATTTTATTCCCAGTGCAATTTGTGGCGTCATCATGTCTTTGCTTCGAGATCGCAGTACCATCAGAGGTCAGGACGGTTTTCTTTCCCCATGTCACCAATTCTGACGTGGAACTTTAGCTTCTGGAAGTATACTTCACGAGGTCAATTAAGCTAATTGTTATCTTGAAGTGAGTTAACTAGCTCCTCCATCAATGCAACTTCTTTGTTATCTTTGAGGTCATTGTGTGACATGAGATTCTATGGAAAGGTCACTCTTAAAAGTGCAGTGGAGTTGGAATATCGGTAGTACAGATCACTTGAGGATGCAGCTGTTTGCCATCAGGACAGGAAGGACAATGAGGAGGTCCGAGTATTCGGATGTGCAGTTCACCTCTCAAATCTCCACATTTACCAAAACGGTTCTTTACTAGCAATATGGAAGTGGAATAGGGTCAAAAGTGGCTCTTAAAAATACTTATTTGGATGGTTTAAGGAATCAAGCGGCGTGACTATCCCCTTACGACTTCCTTAAAATACAAAAAGATCCAGAAGGTGATCTCAAAAACAGCAGAACATGTCTGGAGGCTACGAAGAAGAGGGCGTACAATCCGTGAAATTCGATACCTTCCCTGCCTACTTACACTTAAAATATTTTTCGCCTTTCAGTGAACAATTCAAAAACTGGACGAGGCCGACTTTTGTTCCAACGGTGTGGTTTGAGGAGGTAAGATATCCGAACAGTACTAAACGTGGCCTGATTGTCGCGTTATTCACCACCTAAAGTGGTGTGATGTCGCGCCTCTGGTCCAGACACACGTCTGACCATCTAAACGGCAAATTTTAATACGCATGTCACCGTGTTTACATGTCTCGGTTGTCTGCGCTCTCACTTCCTTTTAATCTATCCATGACATGTTTGTGCGTGCATGTAGTTGCTTTGATGAAGGCGATAGTCGACTTTATGTCGTCAGTCGCATGTTTGCACAAAGCCGAGGAGGCCTCATACCACACATTTATGTGATTTATCGAGAGCCGACAGTGGATGCTTATTTGACAAGGTAAACAATTTAACTCGGTGTATGGACGAACCCATAGAGGGAGATGAAATGAGAAAGAACTTAGAAGAAGGTGGTTGACAATGGGTCTAGAAGCACTTTAACCCTGTCAACGGCTTCCTACCTGAATCGAACTCGGATACAACTAAAACTTGTACTACTGCGTGAGACTACTCAAAGACTTTTTGTCTTTTGATGGACCATTCGATCCAAAGGGAGAGATTGTAAACAGATCCTCAAAACCTAACCTTCTGAGGGCAATGATGGACAGTAGCAAGTGCTTCTTGGAGAAAAGGCATTGTCATGCATCTCTTCCATGAGTTTAACCTCAACCAATCTATCCCTATCGTCACTAGTTAAAGCGCGTGATAGTCATCAAATGACAATTGTGGCGCTGATGACAACATTTTTATTTGTGTTTGTAAGTGGCGTTTCATATGATCGAAGAAAATAAACGCATTAACGATCCGGGAAGATAATTGATTCAGAGGAAATAATACCTCAAAAGAGAAGTTACTTGAATTGTTGCCTCACAAATCGCTATTCTGTGGTCGCCATCGAGACGGATATGCTTTGGCGATTTCTCACACCGGCGAAGCTGCTAGACATCTCCGAATTTTCTATAGGCTCGACGGACTACGCTGTGATAATTTTCGTCTTTCTCCTCTTCCACCATCCAGAAGGCTGTAGCGGGAGCTGACGCCTTGGAAGTGCTCTACACTAATGCCTACGAAAAACCAAACTATGGACGCCGAATTCTTCTCATCACTATGCTTGTGTTTGTGAGCCTTCTACTGATCCTTCTCGTCGCACTTGCCATCGTCCTTTTTCAAATCTGCTACCGAAGTCCACGAACCGGTGACATAATAAAGTCAGGTGCTGCCAACAGCCCCGGTGTCGGCATATTCGACGCTAAATACACGAAGGTCGCGCCCACTAATCCCAACTAGGTTTGTTCTTTCCGAAGGCTTTTTGATTGATGGCATGTTTGCACCTTCTGACAACTTTTACTTCCGTCTAAAATTCAGCAAGATTTTTGAGGCCAACGCCTGAGTCAGGCAAATGTACGATCTGGATTTCGCTCAATGACCAGTAGCATGTCCTTGTAGTTCACATAATTCTGTTGCCTGTACAAATGGAGACACTCCTCTTCTGATCCGTCAAGAGTTAGTTCTTCCTGCCTAATAAGGGCAAGGATTGATGGGAAGCATTTTACCGGGATTTGGGAGACTCGAATGCAGTAGGATGGGGTTTTGGGTCTGCTTCTGCATGTGCATCAAACAACTTGTCTCCCTTCTAACTTGTAGTGTTGCCACTATTCATTGCAGGGGAGAGTAGAAGTGCAGAAAAGTGTGACTGATGCCTAACAGAACAGAACAGATAGCAGTGCCAATGACACCCGGTGACAGTCCTATTGTCGGCGTTATGTTGCGCGCAATTAAAAGTGCCTTTATAGCTCCACTCCTCCACTATTATTCCTCTGCTGCCTGCTCAAATTCCTCTTCTTCCCCATGATAATGCTCTGCTTGATTAAATGATCTTGTCTATTTTTTGTATCACACTGTGATTGCAAAAATGACTTATTTTGCTTTATGCTTTCCTTGCAACAATAATGGGGTGCGAGGTCTTAGTGGCCATGTAAAATCTTGTCTCCTCTCTTAGCTGATCATTCTATTAAGCAAGTGTTATTAAACACCAGCTCCTTTTTCAACGGTAGGCAAATTTTAGTTGTTCAAGTTTCTGATTAACTTCCGCGATGTTAGTGAGTTAAGTCTGAAAAATGCTGAAAGTTACGTGCTGAGCGGAGTGGGGCTCGATCTTCAGGTCAAATTCAGCATAGCCCAGGTTACACAGCTCCCGATTCACTCCAAAGGCGGTGTTAGGAGATGAACACAGAGGGTGGGGGATCCAATGACAATAAGACTGGATGTGCGCATTTTAAACAAATTAGGGTGTTTGGAGTCGCCCAATTTGCTCACTTTTTCGTGGTCAGTAGAACAAACATGCACTCTTCAGATACGAGATCGCTGGTCTTCCTCCGATGACCTCATGCGTCACTTCCTCCAAAGACTAGCTGTTGTGTCAAGCCCTTTGGTGGACTAATATCATCTTAGCACTTCGTAATAGCTCAGTGGTTCTTAAGCCCACACCGAGACTTTGAAAACAAGAGCTCTTATTGAACCTTTCACCAAAGTAGGATAAAGTCACCGCTGCACAGACAAATAAGGCAATCCTCAAAAAGATGCTACTAAAATTTCCTGATAGAATGAGATCACCATCCGGCAGGCGCGAGAAGATATGCCCGATGAATGCGTCATTCGTAGTGTACAGGGCTTCGTCGAAGCTTAGTAGAGAGAAGGGACTAATAATTCGCAAAAAATTCAATCGTACGTAGCACAAAAATCTGTGTCCAAAATACGCACGAGGTGGAAATAGCCTCAAGATGAAACTTCGTAACCTGAGTAAGACTTGAGAGCAAACTGGGTGGGATCCCATCAGGAGTGCCTACTTTCGACCAGTGCTGCACAAAGGGAATGAGAATTTCCAAAACGAAGGTAGTAACCGCTGATTCCTTTGAACACGAAGGTCCTCCCATGTGTAAAGGATCGATCGGCAAAAAAAAAGGATTTAAGGACACGATCATGAGTGATTTCATTAAACCTTCGAAGCAGAATGCCTGTTTCATTAACAAAATTAATTTTTGTTGAAATATACAACCTTTTTTTCAAGCTTCCATTATGCGGCTTATGTGCAATTAGAAAGTGAATGATCCATATACCCCACGCAACCGAATACAAAGAACTAAGTGTTGTAATTCCCTCCGTTAAATAATGTGAATCTTCAACAAGCAGACAAGACGCTCAAAAAAAACTATCCAGAAAAATTTATTTCCAAATTGTTTGCTACTTAAAATAGCACAGTAACACAATTTAATATGAAAAATCTCGAAGATATAACAGATGAGGAAGACGTGTTTAGCGATTAAATGCAGAGCATACTACATACAAGAGGGGAGGCGCAACCTGGCAGGCCACGAATAAATGATCTCCAACTTTTCCGATCAGATGTTTATTAAATTGCTCCAGGGACTGACTGTCGATCTAACCGTGTCTTCGTTGTTCTTCACGAACTATTTTTGTAAAGATACATAAAAATGTGTGAAAATGTGGTTCACGACCTTTTCAAAGCCAGTCAACGATTGCTACTGATTCGGCTTAAGTTTTGATTGTCACTACATTTACGATTCACAATCTCCTTAAATTAAATTCGAATGCTTTCCTACTGAAAATGCTACATTAAAGATAAGATTAACAGGGCCTTTCACGCAAAACAGCTGGGTCGAACGGAGAGCGAAACGTGGGAAGGAGGGTAAAACTGCACTGTCTGACAAAAACGATAAATTAAAAAATTGTGTTTAGGTCCAAGAAATCGGTAAGCAAACTGCATAAGGTGCTGTTAAAACCTCAAACACCTTGGGTTAAGGGTGCATGCACTAGACTTTGTTTAGCCTTCTGAAACTGAAAGTCTACTGTTTCAGACGCGATTAATGGTCACGCTCCAGCCGACTTTGTGAGAGGTTTCTGCCACCATATGTCCACGCAAAAAAATAAAAAACGGGACGAACAACGTAAATATTTGATTTAGTTGCAGTTTTACAACTACAACATTTAAGAGGAGGGTAGACAGCTTTTGAAATATGCAGGATGTTTAAAACTTACCAAGTCACTGGAACTATCAGCGGGATGTTCAAGAAGGAGATGTCTTATGGAAGGATTTTGCTTCCGCGATCGGAAAACAGAGCAAATGCACTTGGAGTAGCGCGCCAACATTAGTAGTACATTCACGACCAGAAGGAGGCAAAAGAGAGTGGCAGTGAGAATGAACGAAACATGAATCGCCAGATACATATGGTCGGGTTGAGTGTAGATTGCAGAGTGAAGAAGCCTCAGAGCCTCAGAACTGCCTTTTATTTCCTTAAAAAGAGAATCGCCTACTGTACAACTAAAAGGTTAGATCTTGAATAGGTGTCAAGAGAATCTGATTCCCACTGCTTAGGTCAACTATCTCCAAGACCCTAAAGCTAACAGAAAAATCGCTTTAAGACTTGTGGTTCTTGAAGCTGCATCACCGACACCGCAGTGGAGCTTACTCGACACCTTCAGTTCCTTTAAAGAAGGGCAAATGTCCCAACTTCAAAAGAAGTCTACGAAGAAGTCTAAAAAGAATCATCGAAGTTGCAATAATCGCCCGAGAAATCACAATACCATCACAAAGGTCCAGAAAATGGGATGCCTAACATACAAATGCGCACATTGGTAAAGCATCACACCCAGTTAATGGGTCGCTTTAAAACACCTTCCAGACAGTATTCAACTGGTGGGACCATAGAAGCGTGAGAGTAGCGTCGACATTGTATGATCTCATTTTCTGCCTTGTGAGTACACTCATTTCGTTACCCTCTGTGCGAACCAGACAGAGGAGGTGCGTAACGGTCATCTTATAATGCGTAAAAACTAACAAAGGCATAAACGATGCTTATAATCGCATCAGTGTTATGACGGTAACGTTTGGACTCCCTAGATCCGCCCACTCACTACCACAGAATCGTTCTTTCACATGGCTCTGCTCTAGTACACGCCCACCAACATGCATAAATAATGACATCAGGTAGATACAAGACGAGGAAACAATTTCCATCTGTGCGTGTGACATTGTTAATCGGGGAAATGGTGAGGAGAATGATTGACTCACGTTTTCAAACCACGCCATTGGCAGATACAGTGGATCGGAGATGTTTTGATAGAGATCCCTGAAAACACAAAATCTTCGTCACACAATTTTATGACTAAAGCGAATGGAAAGGTGTCAAAGCATGAAGGGAAACAATTCAGTGACCCACGCCATATGTGCAGATCGTTCGATGTGGGCGTTCACCTGCAGTCGAACGTGTGCCTCCACCACGATTCCCGTCTTCTAAATTCATCCATTGCAATAGAAAAGTTGTTAAACAATTGCACTTTTGGCAAGGTTTTAGGCCATTTGGAAGTAACCCTTTTTTTTCACCTCTACCATGTAAATTAGAGTTCAGTAAACTGACATTTGACCAATCACCATTTGTTGACATTGGCACACTGTGCAATGCTTATGGCGGTAACTCACGGCTCCACACCGGTTGGCAATTTTTAGTGGAAATTTAGTAAGCAGTGGCAGCATATCCTTAATTGCATGCAGCAAAGTGAAACAAAAGCAGATATTTTAGAGTTTAGGTGATTCTTTTTTTTTTGGAAGATGATGAGAAGGTCAAATCAGCTCAACAATGACAACCACATGTAACAGAAAAGGGGCCAAAATAACTAATACCGTACAATTTCGTTATCACATGAATAATAAGAGTTAAAAGCAGATGAAAAGCCTCATCTGTTCGTTTAGGGCAGTGCTTTGTCCAGTCTTTACGTCGAAGGCGTAAGTGGCCGATTGGAGGTGGTACTTCACAAATCAGGTGAAGCCAAACCCTAGGTGGACTAAGGGATGTCATCCTTTGCCCCGTTGTGGGCAGATTTCAGGGTCTGGCAAAGCCATTCATAAATGCTGATAAAATAAAGTTTGCACAATTCTTGCCTGTAGTTGGCTCGACTGTCACTGTTTACATACGCACACACCATGGAGCACGGGTGTGAGTCAGACCATCGGGCTACCCGAGGTAGAGGTGGTTAAAATCGGCCTATTTCATAACCCAAGACCTACACTACAACGCCTCGTTGACTTTTTTGTGTAGCACTTTGAGAAGGTGAAGACGACCAGCTTTCTAATTGGGTCAAAAAGTCACCTAACAAGTGATGCATCAATGTTAGGAGGACACTATTCTCGTCAATAAAGCTCAGGAATGACCATGAACACTTGTGTGAGGAAAGAGAGTGAAAAACATCTGGAATTCCATGAGGAGTGGGTAGGCTTTTGTGCCAACCGAGCAAATACTTTGTAGAGAAAAGGCTTCTGTGCTTGTTTCCGTCCTTGATTTACCACCATCACTATCACCAGGCTCGGAAAACTGCTATTTTCACCATTCGAACAACATCCACTGCTTCAAACAATCTAAGCCTAAACCGGAATCTTTTACCGCCACAGTCATTAGTTAAATTACTTCAAATCACAAACACTCGACTCACCGGTTCAACGAGAAGTTTAAAGTTGTCTCGCCTTGGATCAGCACTTCTAAGACCGCGGAAGGGTGCAGTGAGGTTTTCTAAGGAGTTTAGAAAATGCGGCATAGAGGCAAAAATTGGGGGAGCCACATCGCCATGCACTGAACACTGGGAGATGTCAAAAAGACCTCTCGGTGGACACTCTGGCCCAGAGACCTTGGTTGGACAGTATGCTTCATCTGGAGGATACTTAGATGAGTCCAGATCCATTTCCACAACCTAGAAAGCAGTCACACCTAGCCTTTAAGTTGAGGTTACCTTCAAGTCCTGAAACGCTGAGGGATGAGTGAAGTCTTTAGCGGTTATTTTGATAGGTTGGCAGAGTAGAGCAACAAAAATTTCCCTCAGATCTCCAGCTTGAATGCCTTTGGCCAACCTTGTGCCATCTATAAGACCAGATTTCAAGCGTCTTCCACTAAGGTCATCTTACCTGTTCCGTGAATTTTATTGGCTTGCTTTGTCGACCATATATCCAGCTCCCTAAAAACCAAAATGAATGGCAATGACAAAGCTCAATGTAACACCCTAGACTCTTGTGCTGTGGGTGCCTTACCTATCGCCTTTGATGGAGAGGAACTCGCCTACATTCGATGAATTCTTTATACCGGCATCGATGATATAAGGACCTTTTACAGTGTTGTTAGTCTAAACCACAGAAAACCAAACATCTGTATCTGAAATATAGTGCAATTCCAGGAGAATGAGTAAACATTGAAGTGAAAGACGGCTAAGGTGATCGCAGAACACAACAAAACCACAGTTTGCAATAGCCCATGCATTTGATGACATATGTTTATGTCTAAATAGGTACCAAATGTCATGTGAAGTGCGTGAAATTACATCACTAAAACAGAAATTCTGAAACATTCACACTGTCAAACCGAGCAGGCGGAAAGTGCATCTACAGAACTGATAAAAAATAAACCTGCTCATGAAAGTTGGGACAAAAGAAACCTCATTGACGCCTTTAAGTCTACATTCCCTTCATATTGGTCTGTAAGTAAGTTCAGTTGCTTTATTACGTGTCCACCAATGAAACTATAGTCTACAACTCACGTTGAGCAGAAGACCCACTTGATCGGTGTGACACATCTCAGGATAGAAAAACTTGCACACGCTCAGCATTGTGTCAAAGTACCCCCACAGGAAGCCATGAACGGTTTGTGTGGTGAAGATTTGTGGACTTGTCCAAAATTTGACCATCTCTATCGTACTAAGACTCGGTCCACGACCTGCATTATTGGCCGCTGAAATGGCCTACAAACACAGTGCAGATTTTTCCATTGTTTTTTTTGGGATTAAAAACCAATAGTAGATGGGCAGGGATTTCTAAGTTTAATTGGCTAATGAGCATCACTGTGATTGGTCAGCTCGGGTAATAAGGCGGGAAAGGCAAAAGTGAAAATGGTTGATTATTGTGGTTAACCTATGGTGTCGATTTAACTTTAACCTGTTTCTTAACCACTTTCAACGTCATTTTTACAGAGCAATTTTAGAAACAGACATCAGAATTAATTAGCAAGGCACATAGATGGTTTTTATAAAGTTCTCACACTTCTTCAAAGACATTTTTTGAAATTAGCGACAAATACCGGCCCTATTCTAATTAACAGGATTTATGTTATTTTCTTTAGTACTGCAGTTTCATTGCTGACTTCTCTTTTAAGGATTCTGTGTCCCAAAATCTGCTATCCTGGTTACTAACCTCCAAGAAAGGAGCAAGGTCAGTGACGTGCATTGCTACACTACCTTCATAAAAATCTGTGCAAATATCTTGAGGTGTCATTTCGGAGCCAAGATTTGAAAGTACTAATTGGTAAATCTAAGATACGTTTCCGTGGTTGCCTTTAAACCCCCTTATCATCCAATTTTGCAAAGTTCATATCCCCGTAATCGCGATTGTTTGACACTGTGTTTTGGTTTTATGGATGCAAAAAATGTTTCAATTCGAGTCAGGAAAGGATAAGCTATGTCACTCGAAAAACACCTCTCTATGGCTATACATTTTTGAAGGGTAGCTTTGTATGTTGCTAGAGAAAACACCCGTCTAAACGGTTACGCGGACCAGATTTCCCTGCAATGAAGCTCTCCGAGTAGGTACATTTGGGAAGAAGTTTTACTAATTCTTAGGTCACCTCTAATTGTACAGGATTGCCCCAAAATTATACCCTCCACTTTGGAGATTGCGGTGTAAATCGTGAGATTATGGCATCAAGAAGTTGTACACTGAATATTTTACACAGCAGAGCATGTGATAGAGATAATTTACATCAATTTGATTTGATTAGGTAGGAATTTGAGTGGAAAGCCAAGCCTTACCAGAATGGGTAGGTTTGCTGAGGTGATTAAGTCATTTTGCGGGTCACCAACGGAGAGGGTGGAGTCAAATTTATATGTACTTCGTTTAAAATAGGATATGGCTGGAACGTCGTCCACCTCCGTCCACGAGATGTTCACTTTTTCGTTCTCCTGCCTGTTAGATGCCAATAAAACAAGTTAAGTCCTCTCATTATTTGTTCTATATATGTTCAGCACTTTTTAAACTGGGATTTCTGCCAGTATCATTGGGAGAGACTTGAATGGCCACATCGCCTTCAACTGTGGGGAAGAGGGAGACAGGCGGACAGGAATGACCTTTAGGTCATTACACAAGCCAAAGTCCCTTTCCCTTTGCCTAAATTTACGTATGCGACCCAACTAAAATGCCTCTTCTTATCAACAAAGAAGTCCCTGGCCGCCACATTCTGTTTTATCACCATGTCTTCTTTTGCCTTCAAGGAAGCCTTAGGATGCCAATGTCCATAGTGTTTTGTTGTGTAAGTAGAGGTCTATTTGTTGCTCTCTAAGATAAGGCATAATTTTCGACGATGATTGTCTAGCTTTGACCAAAATTAGGTTGTTTAATTTGATAGAGGCGTTTTATCCCTTAATTATTTTTTTTAAAGAAACTCACTGACAAGATGGGCAGTAAGGAAGACATTGAAAGCAATCAAAACAACTCGTCAAATCAAATGTTTCTTTTCAGAAATACCTATTAGGAACTGCGTGGCTATTTGTATTCAATGCTCATACTTCTGTTTGAGTTGTAGCCCAGTTTGATCCAAAATCAAAATTCGATTGACTCCAACAAAATGTATAATACTAATAAAAGTATCCCGTTTGAGGGAATGTACCAACATTTTAGCGAATGTAAATAAAGTAATACTCAGGTTCTTAAAACTTCCAAATTTATAATTTATTGCTTAGCCCTTCTTCACAGAATGTTTCCTTAGTTGAAGCACATCAATTGAAGGTTAGACGCTAACTCAAAGCCTATTTGAGGAGTTGATTGCACTTGTTAGTTAATATTTGGTCCAAAAATGGGCAGAGAGCCAACGCACATAACTATTTAATGTCAGAGAGTCAGAGTATTTGCCCTTTCCACAGAGATTGTGCCAAATATTTGCCTCACATTCAGTTGGCAGCACACAACCTCGATGTCGCGAAACGACCCCACCAAAAGCTGCCTCTGCACAGTGAATGAAAATGTTTACCTATTCTCATAGTGCATTTTGTTTTGCTTTTTTTGATTCCGGATCCAAAAACACTCAAATTTTGGTTAAACAAAACCAATTTACAAGCCATAAATCATAATTCCTCACAATTACGGGCAAATGAACCAATGAGTTGTGAGTATCGATTTGTGGCAAATACGCGAATCTCACTTCTGATTAGCAGACGACTCACCAATAGACGTAAGGTCCAATCGCCTGAAGGACCGGCTTTTCACCGGCTAGCATTTCAGTAGGGTTTGTAAGGTTGTAGAAGAAGACCGAAAATTTGCTTGCCGCATTATCCGATTTCCAACTTTGATAAACCGCGGTGTCATTACGCAGCTTGACGGACTGTGTGTGAACAATGGGAATTGGGACCAATAACGATTGGTGAACAATGGGATAAGTGCATGGAAAAAGAAAATTGGTGGAAAATTTCTAAGTGGACGTGTTTCGTTTAGCAGACAAAGTTTTAGATTATAAGAAGCAATACGCATAGCCACTATAAAGTGCTTTTAAAAGTCCTACCTCGGAAATTTTCCACTCCACAATGTTGTCAAAGAGCAGAAGGAGGGAAAGACTCGTCACACTAATGAGGAAGCAAAGTACTAGGGCTATTGAGGTGAGAAGGATGGGAAGTCGGCTTCTTCGGTGATACTTCATCGCCTGAAATGAAACAACACCTTCCTTCGCCTCAGTCTCATGTATTTGTGACGCTTGACATGTCATTATTGTTTACAGTGGATCGGTCTATGGCCGTGCGTGTGTGCGTGTACTACGTGATGTCGCCAAGCTTGACCACGCAACCCATTGTTAACAGCCTGTACACATGTGACAGACCTTCCTCCCAATACTATTGCATTTTTTGTTTGACAAGGTGACCTCTAGAGATGACATGACATTGGAATTCGAATCGGTTCATTGCAAACTTACAATTATTTTATGGCGAAAAATTCATCGTCTGGCGTGTTGTCAAAATTTGTAGATTTCTCTTCCCAATGAGAAGGTGGTATTTTTTTCATGTAAAGATTTTTACAGTTGTCAATACTTGTGATCGGAAGCCTGTTGAAAACATTAGCCAACAACGTCTCTTACTGGCGATCTGGTTGTCTCTTACTAATGCCGTGTATTTTGTGTACTGAAATCCTACATTTGGAGGTCTAGAAGCTTGTAGTAGACTCTTGCCCAGGGACTAAGAGGTCCTCACATTTCGAGGTCGAGCCGCTTCTGGCCTGATGACTGAAACATCATGAGGATAGGCTTTTTAAGGCCATGTACAGGCATATAAAGTGATAAGACGTGGGATTCTCTGAGAGCTGGGAAACATGGGCCGTACAACACACGATCCTCGGTACTATGCCCTAGACTCCAGCCCTCCACTCACTCATCATCCCTCTCTCTTCATGCAATCACACATCACTTCTCACTCTCCCTCCTCAAAGAGTTTCAAGTTGGAAAGATGCTAAAAACAATCGCAGTCAATGGGACAAAGCTAAGCTGGAGGCAAAGTTATTTCCTGAAGTGATTCTTCTGATACACATGAACTGGCATAACACGTTTTTTGCATAAAATCATTTTAACCGTTGTCATTTGCAATGGCGCTCCACTCTTCTCAGCATAAAGAGACAGCAGCAACGGCAACAATGCGATTCCCCCCTCCCCCCTCCTCCTCCCCCTTATAACTGGAGAGGAGACTAGCACCCAGATCGCGCCACCATGGAGGCAATTAAACGTGGAACAAAAATGGGAATTTATGGTTTATAGGCAGGCGAAATCGACATTTTATCATTAATAGTAATTAAAGCTTTGAGGAGAAGAGAATTGGTAAAGGTCATTGAGTCTTGACCCTAAACTATTCAATTGTTTAGTTCCGAGCTTAATTCCACTTCCTACATTAAGGCGAATAACAAAATAAAATTAGCATAAAATCATTCATATTCTGTGTTTGTAAGGCTCTACTTTGAAAGAGATCCAAATCCCTTGACTAGATTAGCTTGACAGTTTAAAATGTTACCCAACGGGTAAAGCAGATTGGGAGATCGTCCACCCGGTTCGTGATCTCATGAAGCCGTCCAAAAGCGACCGTTTTCACCTCCCCTCCTTAATCTCCCTACTTATTCGGTGTCGAAATTACAATTTCTGATGCAGAACAGAAGTAGTTATACACATAACTCACTTGTCGCGTTCGAGGTGTGGGCGCTTGTGTGTTCTGCGTTTTAGGCGTGTGCACCAGTCTTTTTATTTGGTGGGAACGCAGTCACGAACCAATCACGTGGCTCCTGCTGCGGTTTATGGCACTTGCATGAGCACACTGCCATTTCACGCACCCACACGTTTCATCCAGCGCATTTCCATCTCGCCTCTTCCCTCCAAGGGGCTGGAAAAGTGTAACAACATCCTCTACTTATCTTTCACACTTTAAGCATTGCCATCGAGAAACAAAGCTTTGAATAAATTGCTGTTTATGCAGGCAGTCCATTCAGATGTGCCTTTACAAAAAGTCGGCTTAAGGGCGAGGTGCTGTGCAATTCTGGAATGTTTGATTAAAGCATTTTAAATGTAGGCTTAAATTATTTCGCTGTCCACGCAAATAAGAAATGCATATTCATGATTCATAACAGAAAATTTTTATCGTGCATATTTAGTTTGGTAGAATCGGAAGGGGAAGCCATTTTATTGTAATGTACTAAATTTGCATTAAAAGAATACACAAATTGGGAAGTGGGGTGACAAAATCATGCTTGGTTCAACTATTTTGGGTCAGCTTCAACCTTTCTCTCAGGCAAAAGAAAGGCCATTTTTAAGGGTATTTGTAGCAGCGCCTGGTAACAGTCATTACTGCCACAACTCCTTTTACTAATGTCAATTTTAAGCCACATTATCAGCACCTCGAATTGATGCTACTGACTGCCATATTAGCCAGATTAGTAGTATTTGCGTTGTTGGGCGTCTTATCCGTAAGCCTCAAGCCACAACGTGCATCACATAAAGACCTGAAAAGTGAGGCAATGATCACCGCCATCGTGAGAATTTGACAGACGAATGAGCCCGCCTCTGCTATTAGTTCGTTTTTTTGCATGTGATCATTACTGTGATTCGTATATGCATAATTCTCTCACTGAGCAAATTTTTTTTACACAATATAAAGTACAAATTGGGCAGAAAACGTAAATAAGGACTGAAATATGGATAAGGGGAGGAATATCACTGTTTGAAAAGGGTGCTTTGGGACGCCAATGCTATGTCGCATCCTCTGTTGTGAAATTATACTATGCCAGAGCTTGTTGTAAAGACAGTCGCGAGCCATTCTGCCTGGGCACAGCATGCTTCTCGTTGTGGAGGTTCTCGAACAGGCTTCGAACAATAGGCTTATCTTGGTGCATGTAAACATGGACCCTTTAAAGGAGCAAGTTAGGAGAGGAGTAATTTTAGTATTTGTTTAAACTGCACGACAGAAGATCAGCCTCTTGGCCTGACACATTAGCGCCAACAATTGCACATGAACTGAAGGCTATATGAGAATCGTGTAGAGGGCACGTACGATTTAATTCACACTGCATTGGTGATTTGTGTGAAGGTGGTTCAAATCTTGGATCGTAGTCTTAAGTCGAAATTAGAGAGATTGCTACGGGAGAGGGGCCTAGTTCTAGCTTTAATTGACGTGGGTCTGTGGCCTCACTAGCTATAGGATAAGGCGATTGCATGAGAGGTCATTACTGAGTTTAAAGTGTTACCCTGGCTAGCTACGCATTTTCTTAGCAGCGCAAAACTTCTTGAGGATTCGAAACATGATGAGACAAATATAATGCTTTGGCTAGTTGTTTAATTGTCAATTCTGATGGAGGCGTTTGGATTGCACACTTACTGTATGCAATGGACGCTCGGTTATTTGAAGTCCATGGGCTTTCCTCTCTGCCTCCTTCCGTCTACAAAAAAATCTTGGAAGAGTTACTTTATTTATCTACTATAAAATAAAATATGATGTTAATGGGCTCAATCGCCTTGTGTTTAATAAGTATGCAATCAAAATTAATTCTAGCACAATCCTGTGTAGTACTAATATCAGAGCTAACTAATTCGATAGTCAATGGTTCGATTAGAATCAGTAGAATAGTTGATTAGACGCCCGCTGAAGGACAGTTTGCTTGATGAGACCGTTTGACAAATTAAGCACACAATTTTAAAAGGAAGGAATGAATTTTATCAGGTAACATGGAAAGTGGGTCATTCCATTGACTTAACGAGTCATTCTGTCTGCCAATGGTGCGTGTTCTTAAAAATTTGGATGATGTCTGAGGTATGATATTTCCTTTATTTGACAACCTGTATAAGTGGCAAACACATTGGCAGCCATCCTTCATCTGTCGTGTGGACAGGCCTTCGGGTTTGGCCATGGCGTCACATATACCCCTTCGATCTGAGTACTGGTTTTCAGCCAAGCCTGACGCCTTCTAATATTGAGGAAAATTCGGAGCATTGCATAAAATGCAACGCATACCCTCAAAACACAAGGTTGAAAAAACGTTAAACCTTGGCACTTCAATGTTTGAAGGTCCAAAACATCTGATAAAATTAATTAACTTTCTATGAAGCCTGTATCTATTGTTTTAACTTTGTAGCTCATATCAGGTGTTAAAGGTTCTGGATGTAATATTTTGCTTATGTGGCCACCTTATGTCTAGCGGTCGCTCTAAGATTTGTCTGGTCTTTGCACAAGTGGACTAACCCTCAGGCCAACTTCACGCATAATCCCTTTGTGCTCCGTGGAATATATGCATCCAGCTCCACTTTCTATCTTCTTGTGGGAATCCTCCGGACGCTACAATGAAGGATGAGAATTGGTTTATCACTACAACCGTAGAGCAATGCTCATAGCGACCCTAGACTTCTCAATAAGTAGAGTGTAATATTTGCGCCGAGTGCATGTAGTCAGGGAGAAAAGGGAGAGATTGGATTATGGCCCTGTAAGAAGGCCGGTCTATGCCCATAAGGGCAGGGCAAAGTAACCTCTAGTCCTACTGGTTGTCGAAGGCATTGAACATTAAATTATTGGTTTTTAGAGGATTCTGTGCGTATGCATTGCATGGCTCTTTCACAGAATTTTGCACAATTATAAAATCGTCAAAAACCAGCAAAAGTTTAGATACAAGAAGTCGGCTCTAAAATTAAATTGTTTTTGCTAGTGCAAATGTAACCTTGCTAGCCAATTTTTTACAACTCTCTATTTTTGACACTGTTTTTAATTTTGGGGGTGTAAGCATATACACTCAGATCTCAAAAGCATTGCATTAAAAATTACGCTTCAAATTCGATCAGAAGCGCCATTCTCCAGGATTTTAATACACTCCGATACAGATTCTTTTAACCACTGTGTATAATCCAAGTGGTTAGTTTTACTGAGCCACTCATTCACTTACGTTTCACCGCCGAAATGGAATCGCATGTTGGTGACAGTCTGTTACGATTTCCTGCTTAATACCTTGTGAACCCCAAAAACACGTGATTGTTTTCCTATTAGTATTTCCTCAGTTTGAGCAGTTTTGTTGAAGATTTTCAGTTGGCGCTGTTACTCTCGTCATCCAGTAAATTTGCTCCAGAGATTGTTTGCATACTGGCCTGATGATACTGAGGAGTTTACTTAATCTGCATTTATGCATAAGTACAGCTGAGTTCCTTGTGCTTTTAGTGTCTGTTGAATGCAGACATCCAGAGTCTTCATGATTTGGGCTTCGCCTGCACCCCTTCCAGTTTTGTTTTATTGTTCGTAAATATTTTACGGATCTGTTTTCAGATACCAATTTCTCAAATGTCGCGGTTTATCTCTCCTCTAAATCCTGCCACATATTCTACTCTGGGAGTGCTTTTAACCGCTGTTGGCGTCTTTTTCATGGCTTGGTTCTTTGTGTACGAAATTACCGGGACGAAATACGTGCGAGAACTATTCAAGGAGGTTCTTATCGCAGTCGTTGCCTCCATTTTCATGGGCGCTGGACTTTTATTTGTCGCCCTTTGGGTCGGTATTTACGTGTAATAGTATCGGTAAACGCTTGCTCAGACGCACAGACTTCTGTTATCTTGCATTCTCTTTCCAATTGTACTTTTCTATTTCATGACAGTAGAAGCAAGGTGTGGCTGTCATTTGTAGACCATTCTTGTTCGTTATTCACTATTCAGATGTTCAAAACGAGATCTGAGTGGAGTCTTGGTGCAGCATTGTTATCTGAATCTTGGTGGTCATGACCGCCTATGTAGTCCAACTGGGTAAAATTGCGTCACCATTTGCAACCGGTTGAACTTTCTACCACCGATGAGACAGTGGAAGGCGATAAGAGAACCAGGTAAAGACTCGCCAGTCCCCGACTCGACTTCTGGAAATCCCACCCGCTAAGTTTTACAAGAGGAAGAAAATTGCCAGGACTGACGTGTGGCCACGGGTAGGACTGCATAACGGAAGGTCGCTCCTTGACAAAATTCAACGCGGTCGGACGGGGCTGACGCCCTGACTCCTTAAAGTTGGACTAAACGAAGTCATAGCATCAGGGGCCTCAATTTCATGATTGATTGGGAAGTAAGTGGGAATCAGGAACACACCAAATGCAAAAGGAGAATTTTGGCCACAGGAGATCAAACAGTTTTCAAATACTGACGTATTTTATTGGGCAATTATGAAAAAAATCCGCTGACAGTCACACAAACGCAAACACACTGACGAACAATACCCAAGTAGCTAATAATGAAGAGAGGAACTGGGAGGGAACGCTCAGGACTCCAGGGAGGGTAAAGGAGAAAAGGAATAAAATAAGAGTGGGGCGACGGTAGTAGTGTTTAATAGTCATCGTCATCATCCTCATCCATTCCATCATCCTCAACGTCCTCCTCATCTGAATTGTCGTAAACGATCGGCTTGCTAGTGCTACGAGCCTTTCGCGGAGGTAGAAGTGATGAAGAAGGCGGAGCTGAAGTTTCAGGATTATCGCCTCCTACTGTCGATGGCATAGCAGCCACTGATGTTGGCATGCTCAGTGAAGGGGCACACGAGGCGCCGGTCACCGCAGCATAGGACTCAGACATTACTTTTGAATGAAGTAGAGAGGGCTTCCTTGAAGTACTGCTTTTGCGTGACTTTGTACTGAAGGATCCGCGACTTGTGCTATCATCTGGAAAGGTAAAAGTAACGTTTGGATGGTTAGATGAACCAAAAGTTCAAGGCAGATCGTGACATATATTTGTGCATACCTATAAAGTGGATGTGAAAAATAAACACCTTTTTAATTGTTAAAAACTAATTTTTCTCCTCAAAAAAAATGAAAATTTCCCGATCGACATAAACTTCTCAGGAAGTGTTACTTTCCAAATACAAGGAGGAAATACCTTCGTCGTCTTCGAAAGTGTCTTCGACGACTATGGAAGAGCTTGCACCTCCAGTAACGTCAGCTACACCGCCGCAACCTCCACCATTGCCACCACCACCGATGGGAGTCTCGTCCATGGTCTCCTCTTCCACATTTGAGGGTGTGGTTTGAGTGGGTGGGTGACGTGTAGACGTCTTTCGGGAGCTCGAAGTCTCGTCTCCGTCCTCTGCTAGCGTCTCATTTTCCTCCGGGACTCCCTCCAGAGCCTCTAACTGTTCGCGCGCATTTGTCCACACTGTCTGCAACACCACTGAGTCTTCAAAGATCTATATGAAGAGTAAAGAGGGCATTGACGTGGATGCAAAAAACTGCACCTCCAAGGACAAAGACGGCTGTTTTGACGTATAGGGATAGGATAGGAACTCACCAGACTGCCATCCATGTTGTATGTTTGAGCATTTTTGCACAACAGAAGAATCTCTGCCTCCAGCTCATCCATTGAGCGGTACTTTCCGTCACGCACACGAGTCTTAATGCGATGGAAGTCGACAGGTCGTTTAATCACCTCGTAGTAGTCTGGCAGCTCCTTCCGTGTCGGCAGCTTCATGAAAGGTTCGCTCAGTACACGCTGATCCCTTCAGAAAAAAAGTATGAAAGCCATGGCAACAGATTGGTGTGGAACACTAAAGGTGCATTCAACTCACTTGTCCTTATAATCAATGACAATCTGCAGGAGACGTTTCATACGCTCCTGCAATTTCGGTGAGATAGATCGGCGTGCATTGGACGATGAAGCAGCCGAGGCAGACTGTGGTGGACGTCCTCTACGACGCTTTACTGCTGGAGCCGCCTTTACACTACTCCCAGCCTCCGAACTGGCGTCGTCCATGCCACTGTAGTCCGGCTGAGGATAAATAACCCTTCGGCAATCACTTACTTCAAACAACTTAAAGCTAGTTCATCCAGAACAAGAACCGGTCGTTCCATTCGGAACATTTTGGACTTGTCAGAAAATATGTTGCAAAGGTCCAAGATAGCTTTCAGCGAAACCTCCTAAAAACGTTCCATGACAACTAGCCAAGCATCGAGTAAACACAGAGATAAGAGCCCATATGATTTTAATTCACGGTACAACTCACGAAATCTCAATTCGAATTAAGCACAGACCAAAAGAGACGTCTTACTTCATTACGTTTTCGTTTGCGCTTCGCCTTGCGCTGCCGCGATTTCTCCTCAGCTTCCTCCAAACTGCCCTCATCGATAGCCTTTAGGAACTGACGGTCCGTGAGAGCATCCGAGTAGTCCACCTCCTTCCGTTGACGACGCATGGTGAGAAGACAAGACTCATCCATAGCAAGGCTCTTCTCCACTTCTTCCTCATTGCGCACAATCCAATCAGGCAGTTCAGAGTACTCCATCAGTCGAGGCTCGGGTTTGGCCTGTTGTCGCTCGGTCACCTGACGTTCGGCGTCCATACGCTGGTAGATGTCGAACTCTTTCTCAGTGCGAGCGAGCATCTGATTCACTGTCTCATCATCCGGAGCCTCGTTTTCATCCTCATCTGCTTCGTCGTCGGCCTCTAGGAGGTTCTGTAGAAACTGCCGCCGCTCCAAACCAGTAGACTTGTTGTCGAACATGCCAGCCTGGATAACCTTTTCGTCAACGTTGAGCTTGTAACGTGCAGCGGCCAAAATCTTCTCCTCCACAGAGTTTATTGTAATCAGACGCAAAACTCGTACCTGTTCCCATAAGCAATATACTGTTATGAATTGGAGACAAGGTTCAATCCCTCTAACAAAAACTGCAAGTGGTTCAGGTTATTCTCTATTCTAAATGTATTAAAAAGGAATTTGATGAATAAAGCAAGAAATAGATCGAATGTGACAAACAAAACAATAGCATCACAACAAACAAGCACAGGAAAAAGTGAAAGCCTATGAAGAAGAGGATTTCACTAGAACATAATAGTTTGATCTTCTATGTTGGTGCAGAGGGTTAGCCTCTTATGCTATTAATCTTAGTACTCCAGAACGACTCAAGTAATTAACAATTTCACCTCAGCAGATGACTGCCGACGGTTTAAGCGCCGAAGACAAAAATGGATGACAAAAATGCCTAACCTATTCAAATGGGTGCATAAACAAATAATTTACATGGGCGACGCCAAAAAGTAAACTACGAGTAAATTATATGTCTTTCGCTTCCAAGCAAGTGACCCTAAGGAGTCTGTGTTCGCCTAAAAATGTAGTTAAGTGTCTTACGCTGCTGTTCAAATAGAATCACCCTCATAAAGTATGTGGATGACTTCACTTAACAAGATGACCGTCGACGTTCAGAACAGATAAGTGAATATAGGAAGAACCAAGAAGCAGTCATTTCAATGCAATCAACAGGATCAACCTTCCTGCCGTACTGGTTAGCACTATGCGGTCTGCAAGAGTAATGAAGACTACGCGCCAAACGGCTGTCAGCATACTTTTTCAAACACTTAACGGAAAAGATAAGAAAGACAGATACTTCATAGTCGGCTGATTCACGAAGGTGCGAACTCACGTTTTTAACCTCAGTATCATTTCATTCATAAACCTAAGGCAACAGGATTGTACAACAAAATGCTTGAAGATCAGTAAAGTATTGCAACAACAGCCCGAAATGCTAACTTGTAGCCATCTAAGCAATTAACACATCACAAAAGATCCCCAGTTGTTCCTCGCAAAATGAAACAACCGATAAACTTGTCACCCAAATCTACATTAAACCCAGCCGGACAATCTACCTCGTTTTGCTGGCCAATACGATGGGCACGATCCTGAGCCTGTAAATCCTGGTGCGGGTTCCAATCCGAATCAAAGATGATGACTGTATCTGCCGTCTGGAGATTCAAACCCAATCCCCCGGCTCGAGTAGATAACAAGAAGATAAAGTACTCCTGCGACTCATCATTAAACTCCTTCAGCATTTCCCCACGATCGTCTGCTCTGGTAGCACCATCTAGTCGCAGGTACCGGAATCCTCGATAGTCAAAGTAGTCCTGCATGATAGTCATGAGGCTGGTCATCTGGCAGAAGATGAGCACTCTGTGCCCAGTGGCTCGCAGTTTCGGCAGAATGCGATCCAGCAATTCAAACTTCCCAGAGGAGCGGAAGAGAAGCTTCCCCTCCACCTGAGTCGGAGGCGGCTGGCCGGGTAGGGGAGGGTTCTGAAACTCCGCAATTGCCGCCTCGATGTGGCTAAACATGAAAGGATGGTTGCATATCTTACGAAGCTGCATGATGGTATTCATCAAGGTCCTCGTACCACCCTTGCCCTATAATTAGAAAGCAACAGGTGAACAAATTGGAAATAGTTAAAAGGATATGGGAAGGTAAAATAGAACCAGTGCTTGAAACTATTCACATTAACTGTTTAGTTTGGATACGAAATCGGATTACTGCTCAGTCCAGAAAAATCATTTCTGACAATTGTTAAGTCAAATAATGAGCACCTTCTTGTCTCTCTCCGAGCCATCGGTGAGAATGACACCCTTGGACTGCATGTAAGAATAAAGGACGCGTTGTAAAGCGGACATCTCGCAGCGGATAACATACTCCACCTTCTCAGGTAGCTGCGACTCCACCTCCTTTTTGAGCCTACGCAGAAGGAAAGGACGAAGCACTTTGTGCAGACGGCGGATGATCAACAAAGTCTCCTCGTGATTCAACTCCACCTAGGAAGCAAATCTAGTTCGCTAGTTGCTCAACTGGGTCGCAATGACAAACGACCGATAGAAGGCAAGTCAAGGAACGCGTCTAATAAGTGTTACTAAAAAACTATTTTGACCACGTTGACTAACGAAGCGAACCAGCCAATCAGAAAAAGAGTAGAGGTACTGAGACAACGTCAAATAAAGACACAACGAAAAGTCATGAACTTTATGTGATATGACTCCAATCACACTCAAACCTTCATTACTGTGATAAAAGACGTTTCCAATGCATTGTTTACCGGTGAACAAACGCCAATAACACAGCCAGTCAGTATTTTTCAACTATTCCTTCAGAAGCCCGAAATTGACTGCCCTGAATAATTTGAAGTATCCCTCGTAAAATAGGAAAACTCAGAATTTCTAAGAAATAAAGAGCAGCGAAGAAAAGTGAGAGAAAACCAGAGAATAAGTAGGGCAAGAGATTCACTTTCTCCCCAGTGGCCGCAAAAGGCGCATTAAACCATTGCTCAAACGTGTTACAACTGTCGAAGATCTTCGGCAGTAAGAAGTTGAGCAGAGCCCAGAGTTCTGGCAGCTTATTCTGCAGCGGCGTCCCGGTTAACAGCAAACGATACGGCGCATTGTAATGGTGATTCAATATCTGCGTCAACTTGCAGTGGTGGTTCTTCATTCTGTGCCCCTCGTCAATAATCATATAGCGCCAGTTAACCTTGGAGAGCGCTGACTTGTCCTTGATGATATACTCGTAAGTCGTGAGAAGGACGTTAAACTTAGCCGCCTTGATCTGGTTCTGCAGAGCACGACGACATTGAGGTGAGCCCTTATAAAGAATCTTCTTCACGCTAGGAGCCCACTTCTCGAATTCCATCGCCCAGTTGGCCATAACGCTAAAATAAAAAAAGACTAGTAGTTTGATGACGGAGTGAAGGTAGGATGAAGGAGGACACATACGATAGAGGCACAATAATGAGGTAGGGACCATTGACACGTTTCTTCTCCATCAGGTAGGTAATGAGACCGATAGTTTGGATTGTCTTGCCTAGACCCATCTCATCAGCGAGAATGCCATTAAGGTTGTTGTTGTAGAGAGAGACGAGCCACTCGAGTCCACGCATCTGATACTCCTTCAGTTTACCATTGACAAGAATGGATGCCTGTTCCTTTACCTGTTCACGAATAGCATGGGCTAGGGTGTAATAGGACTGACTTCCACCCGACTTGTACTCATCGTCTTCGTTACCACGGACTGAGTCCATCACCGCGTCGTCATCATCGTCCGTGGAAACGTTTTTCTTCTTTGCCGAAGCCTCCTCATCCTCTTCGACCAGGTCCACCTGCACCACACCGTTTTCATCTGTCGGGGCAATCTGTCGAAAGGTGTACCAAATGAGCGACTTTGTGTGTAAAATCACATTCTAACGTCGTCTACAATTTTAGGCTAAAAAAATTTAGCAGAAAGGGCAAGTTAAAACTACATATTTGTGATTAAAATGTGATCTCCTTTAAGACGAAAGCTGGTGAAGTCTATGAAAAAAGTAATTAGGAGTATGTTCGGTTCTCCAACAGCTTAAGATGTCTATATGATGATAGTTCCCCAAATGGGTAATGAAAATCGAAATTTTGTAGAAAACAACCAGTAGATCGTCAATAACAGCAAATCTTCCAACCGTTATGTATACCTCATTATGTGCCCAAAAATATCTTACTTGATAGCATTCTATATACACAGAAAGCAAATAGAAAAAAATAAAAGTAAAGGATAAAACCAAAGTGGTAAGGAAACATACCTCCCAACCAGGATGCTCCTGTAGCCATGTATGCGCTTCGTTGGCGTAAGGCGCAGACTCACCCTCAAGAATCTCCTTTGTGCTGGGATTGGCGACGGGTAGACGAATGTTTGGCCAGGGGATCGTGGTGAGGAGGGGAGCCTTTCCCGCAGCCAACTCTCGACTTGCCTGCACAAGTTCATCAGGAAAGACACCTGGAGGAGGAAGAGTGTTCAGCCAGGATGGAGCTGTTACGCCCTCAAAGATAAGATTCTTTGCCACCGCGTGATACTTATTCACGGCGTTTAGCAGGCACCGCTCTTGTGCTACTCTGCAACGCTCCCTAATGTCCTTAATCCGTAACTTATTCTGCTCCTTCTTATGATCTTTCACCAGCTTCGCAAGATTGTCAATAAACTGATCGGTCTGGGTGAGGAGGTAGTGCAAGCGCTTGTTTTTCTTCTTATCAATCAGCGTGCGATAGCCTGCATCGTCCTCCTCCATCAATCGACGCATACGCTCTCGATCGATCCGCTGTTGCGTGCGACGCCTGTCACGTTCTGCAGTGAGAATTGCCTTGTTGATCTTCGACATGCGCACGCTGGCATTGCGATGATACTCGCGGAATTCCCGACCATGACTCAACACGGCGTTGAGGAACTCTTGGTGTTTCTGACGGCGCCGCTTCTCCTGCTCGTGTTTCATCTGACGCTCCAATTTTTCAGTAAAGCGGGCCTCACGAAGACTCTGCTTCTTTGGTCGCCGATAGGCTTTGATGTTTAGCGCTGTCTCCAGACTGGTGTCACGTCGCATGGCCGAAACAATGTCCTGCCGCAACTGTCGCTGAAAGTTGAGGAGACGCAGGGAACGCAACTCAATCTCCAAACTGACACGTTGTTGAGGGGTGGAAAAAACACTAAGGGACGAAAGAGTCTTGATGCGCTGGCCAATACGTGATTGTATGCGCTGCTCACGTTCCTTCAGTAGTTCAACAGGATCAAGGCCCTGTGGACGCTGAATTGAGCCGATTCGACTGCGTCCAATGAGTGGTGCTTGCGAAGCGGCCATATAGGCAGCATTCGGAGGGGGTCCTGTGTAGCCAGGATAGCCCCATCGCATGGGCATTTGATGTGGAGGATAATTTGGGCGGTTCTGTGCAGATGGAGGGAGTTGTTGTTGCTGTTGCGCGTATATCTGCTGCGGTGGAACCTCTTGACCGGGTTGTGGAAGTGGTGCAGAGCCAGATACGGGTACGGGAGCCCTAGTTTGATAGTTATGGAAACCAGGAGCAGCAGCAGTAGGGGGCACACGACCTTCAGCCAGATAGAGTATGTTTTCGGGAACCGACTGCGATTTAGAAAGCAGCTTATAGGCGCTGATTTGAGCACGAAGTTGGCCAAGTTGACTCTTGACGAAAGCAGAGGGTTGTAACATAGGACCCCCTCCGACGACAGAGGCATTAGGTGGAGGTGGGAAAACAGCGCCGGCGGCGCCACCGCCATAGGTGGCACCAGGATGTGGTGGATATAACGGTGGTGGGGCTCCTTCGTAGCCCTGACCAGGAAGTGGCTGCGGACGGCCAACAATAACATTAGGGGGAGCACCGCCTTGCATTTGAGTCGACAAAGGTGATTGATGGTGGACAGTTGGAGGACCTTGAGCCACTGACATCATAGACGGGTTCACGTAACCTCCTTGACTGGCCGCAAACACTGGTTGCTGTTGAGGTGGAGGTGGGAGGGGAGCTGGTTGTGGTCGTGGAGGCTCCTGTCCATTCATAACCGGAGGCGGTCCACTAGTCGGTGGAATTTGCATTTGCTGCGACGGTTGCTGCATCCATCCGCAGAGGAAAATATTTGAACGTTAGCGCCAAACGCAAGGAGTGAATGGAAAGTAAAAGAGAATTAAAGTACATAGGATCAAAACATTTTCAATTCGTATAGCAACTGAAAACCATCATCATAAAAGGCAGAATCAAGAATCACTCAAGTTGACTTCGAAATGCATCACATTAGGTAAGCGTCGTTAAAGTCAGTGCAAAACAAGGTTGAAAAATTTAACCAGTACACTCTACGTACCGTTAGTTATGTCTAGAAAGGTTCACATTTCTTTACCAAAAAATGTGACATTATTCCCACCCTAATCCATAGAACGAAAAACGACGAGATTAGGACAAAGCTGAACATGTTAGCAGTAGAACATCTAACTAGCATTATTATATCGTAGTTCGTGCAAAATACCACAGGTTGCTCGAAATCAGAAAAATAAATAAACAACTATATAAAAGCAAAATCGATAGAAAAGTAATGATCAAAAATCCAAAATGAGATTGTGGTTAGCAGATGATATAGTTTTTAGAACTTCATGACTAAAGCAGTTACCATGGGCAAAAAATAAGGCCTCAAGCCCTTCATTCAAAGAAAAGGCTCGTTCCAGGGCTGGAACGTCTCGTATAGAACAAAACAAAATTAGTGACTCTACCATCAACTAGAAGGGCAGACAACCGAATCAAAAAGGGGGACAATTTTGAAAGAAGCGCTCAAAAGGGAGGGACGAGAAAATCAAACAAACAAATTGCTTTATTAAAACTAAAAGAGTGTTTTGAACTCTTTAAAACATAAAAACTGCAATCAAATTAATATTATAACAGCAAAGCTATTGTAAAGAGGGTAATTAACAAATTTCTACTAAAGATAGCATCTTAAATGGTATTTTCCAAACCCTCAGGTACCAGAGTAGCAGAAGCTCGCTAATACAAACACATTTTAAAGGTAGCATTAAGCACAATTAAGCTGATGGCGACGATAGAGATATAGACGCATTTATCGTGTGGCCATGACCAAAACTTCGTGTGCCAATGATATGTTAACGCAGGAAGCCTCTTAATGGTTATGACTAAAGCCGTAGAAACTGGTCATAAAATTTTTTGCTTTGCGGCCATGGTCTTAGAATTACTTAAGTTTTTTTAACAAATATGATCATTATGCGCATCTAAAATTTGTTTAATTTAGTCGATATTTTACTTGAGGTCAACTTCAAAGAGAGCGGCATTTCAATAATGTTTATAAATTGATTACTGCGAATTCACGTGCTCCCGAGTTTTTCATTGGTTGAGGTATACCCGCCTCAGTTAAACTCGCGCATTCTCTAGCTGATGTTGTTATCATGTTTTGGTAACTTATCCGGTGCTTTACGCTCAAGCTTCTGTCCAGGCACTCTTTAGGAATGACTAGACATCCGAGGCATTCCAGTATGCCAAATTTGTGTTCAGACAGTCGCACAGGCATTCAGCACTCCTCTTCAAACAGGGTGATTTTTTACTTTTCGAGTTTGTGTATACTGGTCATTTTTTATTGTTTTTTGTCTATCTTCACTGCATTTTATTTCAGTTCTCCACACACCCTCCAGAGAGCGACCAATCAGACCAGTTGCAGGACTTTGTTGAGGAAGAAGCTGTAGTAATGGCTCATGAGCTTGAAGTGAGCTCATTTTATTTCATGGACTGACAACCTAATGGTTTTTGGTGTAGCATCTCAACTTGGACCCCTACGTTTCGAAAGACGTGCTTGCTACTTTGAAAAAGCACCTTGTCCAAGGAATGCAAAATTATAAATCTCGTCTTCGCTCCTCTTGTCCTGAAAGCACACATTTAAACCAATCTAAGCCAGTTTCTTGTCGCGCGCGCTCGTCTTCTTCCGCTTCTCTACCTCCATATTATCCTTCTTCCGGTCCATCCAACAATATTCGTCACTCTAAATCCTCATTCCAGTCAGTAATGTCGCCTCATTCATGTTCTCCTGACTCTTGTCTTCCATTCCCCATAATTCCCCCCACATGCTCCCCCTCTCCGAACACCTCGTATGCTTCACCTCCCAACGTCAACCCTAAAAGATATTATGAACCCTCTCCAGACCACTTATCTCGATCGCACACTCCTGATTGCCGTCTTAATCCCGATTTTTATAATGTTACATCGCAGGAAACTTCTGGATACCCAGTCATCAGATGTGTAAGCACCAGTACCTCTCTTCTCTCTCCAAGTGAGGGGACTTTTGGTTATTTTTACTTAAATTAGCAGATTGATGAGGGTCAGTGTTCCCAACCCGGCAATCGCTATGACAATGACGTGCGTCCTCAAGGCAAAGAATTGGTTGATGGCAGAGGAACATTGAGCCCTGGCCCCTCTCAGTTGCAAGGTTCTGAGGTGTGTTTTTTGCTGTATTTATGTGCGACTCCAAATTTTCTTTATCGAGAAAAGCATGCCCAGACTTGCTTAATTTCAGTCGTTTGACTTGGATTGTTCGAAAATCACCAAAGTCTACCTCCTGAAGGAATGTTCTCCTGTCGAGAATTCACCCTGTTGCCAGTTGGTTTTGCAGTCGTCTCCTCAGCAGGTTTGTCTGGATCTTTTGCAAATCATCGATTTCTTAGATGATTGGAGTAAGTGTCGAAAGAAATGTCTTCACAATTAGCAAGGTCTAAGTCTTCGCTCTAAAGCTTAATTGAAGGTTCTCAAATCATTCTTCTGAATCTAAGGTAGCTAGTCTATTGTGCCACTAGCACAGTAAAACACGTTTTTCCTAAATGATGTGCGGTCGTGCAAGCTGTTTTGGAAGTATATATGCAAGTTTTGGCACACAAAGCATTATTTCGAGTAAACTGTTGTGCTCTTACGAAATGTACATTGTAGCAAGCTGTCTTACGCCTAGTAGTGGGTTGGAAACTGGAGAGTTAATGGAGCAGAGTAAAATGACACCAGCATCTAACGAAGTTAAAACAGAATCATATGAAGGAAGCTGATGGGTCAATAACCATTAATCCTTATTTTCATGGGCTGTTGCGACTTCCATTTTTATGTCTAGTGAATAAGCTTACCAATAGGATATTGGTGTGCCTTGATTAAATGATCTGTTTCCTGAGTTGGGCTCGACAACCTTATCATTTAGATTACTTCTTATCTTGTATAACAGTCGGAGGATCAAGGCTATCCAGTATGTAATCGAACAAGACAGAGTGAACTGTCAAGGGTCAACAGACGCTTTTTTACTGATGGCCATGGCCATTCGTCTCTCCATCGTGAAATGGAAACACACGTTCCAAATTGTGAAAGTCGATCTCAAAAAGTAGGTTTGCTTATCATTCAGGTTAGTTTGAGGTAAGATATGAAAATTGTTTTAAAGGAGCTTAGATTGATTAACAAGTACATCAAATTCTCAGGTTCCTCGCAGACTTTCATAGCGATGAGGGCTTTAACTTTGAGGTTTTGAGCATTTTAGGACCGATGGTAAGAGATTTAGCTAGTGTCGAAGCGCGGTAAGCTTGAACTCAGATCTGCTGTACTGTTCGGTTAGATTTGGCAAATTTTCGGAGATCAGATTCACCAGTGTTCGGATGTAAGTAAAACCTTTGGCTTTAGTTGAGTGGCTTTCTAGTTAGCCTAGCATGGTCGGACGTAATGGCTATTCAATGGGCATGCCTTTCCAGAAAGGAGTGCTCCTGACGTCAACAGTTTTGGGTGATAGTTTGAGTTCTCAAAAGCCTTTTGTTTGGTTAGCAGGCTTCAGTGACTCGCCCTCCCCAACCTTGCTTATCAGCCGTGAGTTGGTTTTGTTAACAAAATAACAACGGCATTTTATTATTGTCGTTGCTTATCAATATGAATGAGTGCCGCCTGTTTTCTTACTCGCCTTTCATTATTCGAACAGGTACTCGTCTGTTCATCGCGAAAGGACAACAGCTGTCCTTGCAAAAAACGAAACTGCCCATTGTCTAAAGAAAAGCAAGATTTGCTGGTGGGTTTATAGGCACTCTTTGGTGCAATGAATTATCACAAGCTATTTGAATCCCGTGATCTGATCGCTTAGCCTGCTTCTACTTTTCACTCCATCAATTCGCTTTGTAGGCTAACAGTGCGGTCGTACGAGGCGGTTTTTTGCGCTTAGTAGCGATGTTTCGAGGCAAGCTTATCAGGGATCTCTTTATTACTGAAAAGGTGATCGACATAATACGGATGATAAAGGTCGGTTTTGCCCATGCATAACGCATGAGCTAATTCGCTCTACTGACTATTCGTCACCAGAATGGTTATCTCTTAGGACACGGCAGAAGTACTGCTGTCCTTTTGTTCCGACAAGAACTGTAATTTGGAGAAAGAGGAGGAGCAATTTGCTTGCCGTCTGCAATTGCAATTGCAAACTTCCCTGTCCAGACTCCATCAGCTCTTCATAGAGACCACACCGGGGGAGCGACTGGCGGCTTTGAGGGGGTCCCACAACTGGCGTGTGGCCAACAACTTCGGCCAACCACGCCAGCGCTCCCCACCCATTTCCACTTTGGCCTGTGCCACCTCGCTCCCAACGGTCCGTCCGCCGCTATACAATCCTTCCCCGTTAGTGAAATTCTTTGCTCTTGACAAGGATTTCTACTTATTCATTTAAGTAAATTGTAAAATATGCCAACATTGGGATTAAGACACGCATTCAAAGCTTTGCGGCTTTTAGCGAGTCATCACAGTTTCTGTGACAATGTTCTCGGTTGTTATTGGTCAGCCGATTTTTTTGGCATAGAGGGGTTTCAGTTCTATCTTATTTTTTCATCTTGCGCATTTCGATCACTCCATTCGGCTAGAGTTCAATGTTCATAAAAATAGATGTTTTACTGCCCTGTTTACTTATTTATCTCTGTCATCGGTCGCAGTTTTGCGCACCTTTATTAAAAAACATATATAAGGCTTGCAGGTCTTCTCAAATGCCGTACACAAGTTTACACTCCAAGCATCTATACGAAGTGGCTCATGGTTTTAGGGTGGTTTTATGGGTTTCTAAAAAATTTTAATGCTTTTGTGACTTACGTTAAGACTTCGTGGAATGAACATCTTAATTTCCTACTTCTAGCTATCACACAATTAGCATACTCAATTGTTCCAAATCTCAGCTGCAGCTAAATAAATGTGATTTCACTTTCGCATTCGTTCTTCACTTCAATCTGGTGCTTTTTCTGGAATCTCATGATTTTCACGTAAATTGTATGTTTCAAATCTATGGCCTAAAACTCCATATCGGTTTCGGACATTCGAACAACAATTTTGTCTAAATGTTTCTTAAGTCTTTGTTTCCAAATTAACCTACCAAGCAGCTACCAGCGTATGCTCAAAAGCCGGTCTCTTGGTCGTCTGATGCGTTCAAAGGTCGTTGTGCAATCGTTATACTGACATCTTCATCTGTGTGTGCTTTACCGCTGGCGCAAAGGGAGATTAACTTTGTAACTCATATGTACACATTGTGACGTTAAATCGGCATTTCACTGGCGGATATCGTGAGCTTTACCGAAGTCTCTATAAGCTAAATGTCACCTATCACTCCAACCAATCGCAATCACAACATCCTAGACGTCGGTCAGAAAGTTTATTGCGAAAGTGCCTTATATTAACGTCATTTTACGAGCGGGACTGTCGGTCTTGGAGGTTTTGACGGCTTTTTCATTAGGCTTTGTGACAGGGACTGATCAAACTAACTCAATCAACTTTTATTTTTATGAGGCATGCCCTTTAGATGTAGTTTATATTTAGCCATAGATATTGCATGAGTGTTAATATACACATTTAGATTTGTTGCTATTTTTTAATGCTATGGGTGAACGTTACCCCTCGAAACAAAGTCGGCTGACGGTAGGAAAAGGTGAATCCATGGGGCGGCTGGAAGCAAACTATCGTAGCCCATGGCTCTGTCATTTTGGCAGAATCGTAGTGGTCTGAAATACCCAATTCCGTTACAATGTTTGCTTTGATTGTCGCCTTCAAATAAGGGTCGTGCCGGATAAGTCAATGTATTTTGAAGTTCTACGCGGCTAGTTTTATTAACATTAAAATTTTTGCTGTTTTAGGAATTTTAATTTGTCGTTTCCACCTCAAATTGGAACATGAATTTTGATGGACAATGGCATGCTTGGATAGTGTGTTCCAAAGTGTACCTTACTCAACCGTTGGATTATTGCCATGTGCAGTTGAATTCGTTTATGTAGAGCATTCATGCTTTTTTGATTTCTTACGATAGCTCCTCTCTTCCGTTTTTCTGTGAAATTTCTTAGGGGCAATTGAACCTCACAGCACTTACTCATTTTACGGTAGAACGCTAATATGAAATTACCCATTGACTATTTTTCAATTAATTCTTCATTTTATTTTAAATTGCACACTGGCATCAATATTGAGTCTGCGAATTGCCATTTAAAACGGCCAGTGGGCTTGGGAAGTGCATTGAATTTTTGCCTAAAGCAACATTAGTTTAGCTCCGCCTTCAAGTCTTGGAATTCACTTTTAGAGACGTATTTGCTATTCATTGCCAAATTAAATCAAATTTACGAGATTCTCTATGGGGCTCGTTTAATTAATTCCTTTTGCAACTAAGAGGATCTTGCCCCATTTCTGTTGCACAATCTAACACCTCCTCATTAGTCGAATCACCTCGCTGCTCGTCTCCGTCTCCTCGCCAAGTTGTTCATTTACTGACTTTGTTGAACAGGTGAAGGCGTTATATCTTGGTGATCTACGCATTTGCGCCCTTGGAATCAAGTATATTTTATTTTAACGGGGCTTTAGCCCAAACACTTGTGAATCAAAAGCTTCAAAAAGTTTCTTATATGTCCTTGTTCTTTATCAGTTTTTATCCACAAGCTTCAAAATTCGTAGTACATTAGTGTGGTTAGCGCTCATGGTCAAACTTCGGATTCATTATTTCCATACGCACTGCATTGCCAACCTTAAAAAACTGTTCTTTAAATTTGTTTCTGACATTTAAAAAATAATAACCTTGTGGTTTAACAAGAAGTATTTTATCGTTGGTATACTTGGGTAGCATTTACGTTCAATAGTTCCTCCTATACCCTAGGCGTTACTCATGGTAATTTGTTTTATTCGAAACACTCAGCAGAATTCAGAGTGCCGAAGTAGTTGTTGGGTCCACATTTCATAATTGAATCGTGAAAATATTTATGAACAGCTACTTAAGTGCTGGTTGAGCACCATTAAAATGAAAATTTGGCAGTAGCTCTGCGTTCACAACCTGATTTTGTGAAGGCAAGGTTCACCCTCCCCAGCCCCGCAGCAGCGGCAGAGGCCCCAGGATGGCCAGAAAACTGCGTCCGACGCCCCGGCCGACGTGCTCCGCTTTTGCGACGACTGGTACCAAGTCAATCGCCTATGCGCCCTCGCCAATCTTCAACTGAACCCTCGCTCAGTTCCCACGAAGATCCCTCCCTCGCACTCACTGCGCACTGCCTGTTCCATGTGCCAACATCGAATTCAACCACCACCCTGTCTGTTGTCAGAGAAGGAGCAGGCGGGTTCGACTCGAAGCCAACGACAATCGGAGCAAAGGGGGTCTTCAATCGAGAGAAGCCAGCGTTCTGCGATGGAGCAAAGGCAGTGTCAGTCGGATCAAAGTCGTTGCTCGGCAGAGAGATTCAAATCCTCCATGAAAGAGAATCAGTGTACGTTGGAGCAAAAACAAGCGACACTGCACCCTCTGAGGAGCAAGCAGTGTCAAATGGAACAACCTCAGCCGTTGGGGCGCTCCAGCTCCTCAGGGGAGAGGAAGCAACGTCAATCTTGCCCAAATCAGTGTCAATTGGATCGATTGCCACATTCTGCACTACCACAATCGATGGTGGAATTGGAGGATGCACCGATGTGTCAAGATTCATGGGAGGAGGAGAGCGAGGACGCACTACGCCAAGAGGAGATGGAGGATTCACCGCGACCACTGGTACATCTATGGCAGGAAGGAAGCGAAAGGTCGCTCGACTCCTCGGAACCCAGCAATGCCGCAATTACTCCTTGCAATGGACTCCAGGACGTGGAATTGAGGCACAGCCAGAACCTTGTAAATTGTTTTGTTTGAAGGAATGTTCAAGCTAAGCAGGCCATCGTTAGATTATAGCTGTCTGCGCTATAGTATTCAAAATATTGGAATCAAACTTCCCCTTTTTAATTGTGATACTCTTTATAGGCATCGGAGGGTCCAATCTCCGCTGTTGTAACAATTCCAGGCTACCTGTCGGTGAATTTGCACCGCTGGCCCAGTCGTCACAGTCTTCATATATACATGCCGGATTATGGGACGAGTCACGCCAAACAAAACGATGCACCTCAAGAAACCGAAGAATGTCAGGCGATCATCCAGAATCCCGATCCCTGTGTGGAGGAGACCTCAAATTGTTGCGAAACCCGGACGGCAATGACAACACCAGATGCATTAGAGAAGAAGAAGGTGCAAATAAGTTGTTGTGGAACGCCAAGGAGCGAATCCTCCAACACCAACAACACGATTTGCCCAGGTGTTCCACACCTCAACAAAGAAGAAGAGGTGGAGTCAGGTGTGAAGATCGGGGTGAACTTGCGACTTCAAATGTACCGAATGGTCAATCAGATGAGGGAGGAGAAACAACTCCTGCGTGGCCGAGTAATAGCTTTCAGACACATCGAGGTGGGTTCATAACTAGTAGCAAACTGACGTGATTGACACTCCTGGCTCTCCTTTCAAAAAGGCTACAAAGTTATGTTCCTACATCGACTTTCATTTTAATGCAAAAATTATAATTTTAATGTAAAACCTCATCAGTGGAAGCAACATGTTTTATCTGCTTCAGGCACAAAAAGCTGGTTATTTGAGCTTTGACGCCATATAGTCGATGCATAATTTCTGGTATTTGAAAGTTCTTTTCCTCCATTTTTCATTGGCAGAGTGCAAGAGGGATCCTTAACAAGAAGCAATAATCTTCCTTAAAAGGCTCTTATTGTTTACAGGATGCATTTGATTTTTTTGCTTCCACGCTAGCCGTCAAAGACATAGAAGTTGACAGATAGTCTTGTTGTCGATGTGTGGGCGGTCTGAGAGACTAATGGCACAGGCGGCATTGTTGGGATTCCATCTCACCAACATGGATGCCGATCCATGGGGGCTAGAAAGTCCTCATTATGCCTTTTTCTTTTAGCATTTTATGATTTTGGCAGATGGAAAAATGTTTTCTTGTTACGTATTTGGTGAAGTTAACTAGAGGAAACACTCAATAGTTGAAATGCATTGAAGATGCAGTTATGTTCCTTTCGATGTAGGCCTTTACGTTGACATCCAGCCTCATCTTCAGTGAGTTGAGTTACCACCAGGGACGTTTAACTTCAGGTTTAAGATTGCGCTCATTTATTGGGCTTGGAATGAAATGCTTCTACATAGTTCAATTGCTTATATCTAGTTTCGGAGATACATCCACCGTTCGCATCGATGGTGATGTACAGCGGAGCTCAATTCTCTGATGGCCTCACCAACATCGACTGTAATTTGCCCTCCTCCATCCAGATTGTGCTCTGATTTATGCCTTAAGTGTGATGCAATGGCAGATCGTCGAATTGCTTTTCTTGAAACTCTGCCACTAACTCAAATGTCTATCTATTTAACAGCTCTCTCCTTATGCCTTATGCTTTTCATCCAAGGAGTAACTTTTTCAAGTCCTCAAATCAGCCGAGCTTTTGTTGAGACATATTTGGCGATTCCATGTCTTACTATTGATGCAGAAGTCAACAGATACCGACATTTGTGTCAAACTTTTGGGAGTCATTGATAATTCATGTCGCAATTTTGAATGCCTCATTGAACTTCGGTGGCGTCTTGAACCTGCTTATTTGGTGCAACTGACACTCTTGGACTAAAGGATAGCTAAATACGGGTATCTCTTTAAAATTGAATCAGCTTTTTAACTACATAGGCACAATTACTTTACTCTTCCAATCTGTCAAATATCGTTGATCACTTTTCATCGAGACACTGAATTGTATACTTTTTCCTGACTTCGGTACCTGTTTGTCTTCGTGTTTTGGATCGAATGTGTTGTCAAGGCTTTCGATTTTCCTCTTCAGCTCACTTTAATTGATTGAACTGCCGAAGCAGATCCACGCCTTTTGTCACGACTAAAGTGGAAAGAATCACATTCTCACACACACAGAATGAGCAGAGTCCGCGACGCCATAGGCATCGTCATGTGGGCATTGATGCTGTTACCGTCGTGCAGTCGTCGTTGTCTTAGTGGTCGATATTGTCTGGGTGGATCTTTATGACAGGGGCGTGTCCATAACTCACTCCCATACCCACTCACTAGCTCGCTCTCTAGCTGCTGCGGTGTTCCGTCCAGCCGCCCAGCCATCCAACCAGGCGTTTTATGACCGGACATTAAAAATTCACACACACACACACAAACGTGCGTGGACTAGTAGTTTTGACTGGCGGCTCAAATTTTGTTTTGCCTTTGCCTCTTCCCTTTTCTTCCATCCAGTGTACAGTCTTGCTTTGTGCAGTGTGTGCGGTCTTCTTTGTCTCTGACTTGCCCGATTTTGCTTGAAGCGATGAATCTCACTGAAACGACTGTAAAGACCGCTTTAAAAGGAATGAAGCGTGGAAAATGACTATCATCAGTAAATTCTGTTACCCTTGAAGGCATTAAATTAGAACCTATCCTGTCATGATTGGATCGAGAGACCGGAATCAGAGGGGTGTGATGAGAGCCAAGCGCAATACCTACTGTGATTTTCTCTCGCCAAATACACTATAAGCTATGTGCCAGGTTGGTGTCCAAGAGATTTTTGATAGGGAAGTATTGAGACTGCTCAGAAGGCAGCATTGGGCCGAAAGGTGGTTATGGTCCCACGATCTTCCCAATGATAGGGGTGGAAGGTGAAGGGAAGATGGCATTGTAAAATGCGCATCTATCGGTCAACTTCGAAAATCCTGCATCATCAAGAAGAAGAAAACACGCAACACTTCATATCATCTTTGTTTTGCATCCGCTAGTTAGCGAATTAATATCGATGATCCCTTCTAAATGACTGAAAGCGAATAAAGTCGGGCAGTGTCATTTTTGTGCGGTCAGCTTCAGTGGCGCTCGATTATCCTCCCAAACACGGCAGACGTGTGCGCGGTGACCTGCAAGTGGGTCGATGTGGGTGAAAGAGAGGAGCCTTTGAAGATGCCATTGATGCTGACGGCGAAAACGACGATGAGGCTGACCGACTTGAAGGACACGGATTCCTGATGCACATGCTTTGCAGGTGTGGATGTGTGTGTGTTTGTGGAATTAGCCGAGATGAGAAAGGTCTGCGCGTTCGCTATCAATTAGCGCACCCTTTGAAGCTGCTAGTGCCTTTCGGCATTTGCTTTGTACATTGGTGTACTACAACATAATATTAGATTATGCAGCTAATTTCTCCCTCTAACTTCCAAATTACTAGGTTGCAAGTTCTTCCTTCTGCCAATAATAAACCAACTTTTAGAATTCCGAGGCTAACTCAAGCTCTGTGTTAGCAACAGCACGTTGGGATATGCCTGTATCTTTTACTGCTTGCGAAGCAAATAAAATCTCTCACTGATACTTCAAAGAAATAGGTCGGTTGGTTATTGCTAGCAAAATGTAACAGAAGGCAGGTATCTGTTGCGGATGTGGGAACGAACTCAGTCTCACGTTCCGTATCTTGACCAGTAGATGGGTAAGACCCGCACTGTGGAGGCGTTTAGGCTGTTCAGTCGATAAGGTGGCTTTTATCGTTGCTGCAAACGAAGCTTAGCTACTTTCAGACTGAGAGGCTTAGTAACAGCATCGATGCAAGTGCTTACATTCATTAGCTGGAAGCTTTATCAGAGGACCATCAAATGATGTTTACTGTTGATGACAAAATCTGTGATATTCATCAATAGGAGGGTTGTCAAAAGCACTTGAACTGTAGTCTCAACAACTTTAAATTTTAATGATAAGGGACAATATGGTGCGATCGGATTCAATTATGGTGAATTTATTTACGCACTGAGCCATCCTTGGAGGGTGGATTCGTTCTCCTAGCAGTTAATTCATAATCTAAGTATCCATCTTCACTTCAGTTTGACAGTTGACTTTCTCTGCCATCTGTTTACAAGACGCACTTAGGCACGATTGATTGTCATGCCTCCTCCCTTCATCTTCATGTTTTATGAATGGCTTTTCTAGTCTTGTAATCATTTTTCGAAGATTTATGATCAAAAGATAGATACTCTTGGTTTTTTTGGAATAGATAATAGCCTTTCGAAGTGAGGCAAAGAGCCGCCACATTAATCATTCCTATTACAAAAAAACTAGGCTTTAAAAACTGAACTTTTTGAAGTTTAGGAATTCGACTAACTTTTGTGGTACCTACAGACTTAACTGGTTAGTGATTTACGGCGTTCAAGGCTATTTCTTCCCCATACCTGGTCCAATTCTCTTGAGACCTTAAAAAGAATTTGGACCAAGCGTTTGTTCGCTCGTGTCACCTTTTGAAAGACCAACTAAAACACCGGATTTGTTCGTAGCATTTCCATCACCTAAGAGTCGGCCTCAAGCAAGGTTTCGCACATCCAATGTGAACCTCGTGATATGATGGTCCGAAATCCTGTCTACTTTTATGGTGGTTTGTTGCTTGAGCTGTCCATGGAGTATGCATCCAGAAGGTCCGGGAGGCCATCAACGAGGTAAGCTCATTCTAAACTCATTTATGTAGAGTTCAATGGCCTGCCATGCTTTTGTGACACTTTGAGCCTGCTGCAATCGGCGCTAGTCATACACATGTGTGGGAGAACTAGCCGCAACATATCGCCGAACATCCCGCATGCATGAATGGCTAAAGAGTTCACACCGGTAGAAATGTTGCCCCCCCCCCTAAACAAATTTAAATATATTCGGACGTTGTTATGAAAGATGGTTCCACTAGACGTACGCTTGAACCGTCACCAGAGATGACACATAATTGCAAGACAATTCTCCATTTCCATTGGATACCTTTCCTGTGTTGATCACAAGCTTGTAGAACGTAAAAGCAAGTTTAATTGAATGGTTGTTCTGCCTCCAAGGGGGTGTTGGAGGGTGGTTGGACAAACGTTCTAGCTCGCATGCTTACTTGTAATGTAAAAGTATGCGGTCCGGCATTATTTGGAAGAAAAATGGGATCCAGGAAGAGTCGGTTTTGTCAGTTCTGTTCAGGTTTTAGCACAGCATGGTCCCGATAAGGAACAGCTGGTATTCTTGCATAAGTAGGACGAATTTTAAGCGACTTTCCCCTGTCCTTTTTATGAAGCAAAAATCTGGCTAACTTTTTTTGCTCTCGAAATAGTCAAACACTTAAGAAGACACCAGATTTTTAACACTTCGAGTTGTCTTTCTGCTTCTCGGTTTTTACTTTATTTTATGCTTTGTCTGACTGTCTCATTATTAAATTATGGTTCAAAACAACTGTTCTGGACACTTAATGCATTCCAATGGTCAAAATTCAAATACGTAATCTCAGTACTCCTCAACTGCTAGTTCATCAACTCGATTACCTTTAGATGCAAAGCCTGTTTCAGTGGATAAACTGAATCTTGTGATTTTAACCAATTTTTTTTTAAATATACCACTTTAATTGAAGAATTGCACTGCCCTTAACATTATCGTGCAAAATTGGATCAAATTTTACACGAACTCAATTGCTTAAGAGACAAATGAGGCTCTGCTAGCGGTTTCAATGAGATGAATGGTCTTCCAGCAAAATGATAGGAAGTTCAGTGAGGCTGGGAGACCGAGCTCCTTGCCATCCCATTCTATTGATTGCAGGTTCATGGTCGCTTTAGACTTTCAGTGTATTTGGCTGAATTATCTGGAGAGCTTGCTATTTTTGCAAGACGAGGCGAAAATTAGAATATTTGTTCATTTTACTAAAAGTAGGTGAGGATTCATAGCCAGTGGAACTAATTGGTTCCATCCCATAGAGTTTAAATCCTTCATGGGAACCGCATGCATCTCTCAAACCGTTGGCTAAACCCTGCGTCTCCAATACGTGGACGCTCAAGGCTTCCATAGTTTACTTCCTTCACATCTTCTATATCTTCACTTTCATTTCTGTGACCTCACAACTACCTCTCCCAAATTCAGGAAAGGTATTAGTAGCTACACATCCTGATAGTTTCCATTAATTGGCAAGAATATCCAATGCGCTACGCACGTACGAACTCCTCATCCTCCTCGACTTCTTCTTCTCCTTCCTCCTCCTCCTCCTCGCTTTGACAACAATTAGTTCCCACTACTGCACTGTCACATGCATCTTACACGTTGTTTACTTCTCCATGATAAATGACCATGCCAAATCCTCTTACCAGTACCTTAATCGAGTTAATAAGACTGTAAAAGGCGTACGGTTCGCCCGATTCGAAGGCACCCACGTCTCTTTTTCCTGTGTGCTCCAAACCTGAAGGTTGAATTCCGATCGTGAACAGATCGTTGAGACTCGATGTTAGAGGCTACGTCGACCAGTGTGTCACAGATTGGAGAGGTGTGCCAAAGTCCTCTTTTATGGACTGTAATCCTTCATTTTTCTGGGTTTCCACCGAAGTTTGCTTGAATGCGTTTACTCATGACATTTACTCTCTAGGCATGACGGGTTTTCATATGGTCGTTAAGCTCAGTAACATTTTCATTAAATACCTCTTTCCAGGAAAGAGGAGTGCATGTTTTGTGGCGTTTAGCTCGAGAATTTGGGATGCCAATTATCTGCGCGGCAATTGAGACTCCACTCACAATTTCATTGAAACGCAAAGTCAAAAAATGGTCCTCTTGCTAAAAAAAAAAAAAGAAATAGGGCGTCAACGCAGTCCATTGCTTTATGAATACCCGACTTTGTTGTTCCCGTATTGCCCTTTTAAGTTGGCCTTGACTTGTTAACTTGACTGGTGGAACGATACTCCTAAAGCTATGGACTTGAAAGAGGAGCTAACGGCGGTGCCCTTTTGTTGTTTGGTGTTCAGCAATATTACATCTGTCGATGTTGATGTGTGGGTGGCCCTTTTCAGCTCTCAAGTTGATTCAGCTAAAAAAATCAGCACTCGTTTTAAACTTGTTTTGGTTGCCGAAACGGTAAGCTCTCATTTGTTTAAGGGAGATGTAGTTTTTCCCCACATTTTTAGCTCAATGCTTGAAGCATTATCATGTTTGAAGTGCTGATTTTTTCCTTCTGCCTCCATTTATCATCAAAGTCGCTTATCTTTTACTCCTGGATGTTCAATAAATCCAATGCAAGAATGCCTTCACAAATATGGGCCTAATGGAAGGCATCAGAAGGGGGCTCGGCAATTATGCCATTCTGTTTCACAATTGAGATATTGAGTTGAGAAAAGGGGATTATTAAGGCATCAAGAATCGTGTATTGAGTTAGTCGATTTTAAACGAAAGGTAAAATGAGTGTTAAAAGTCCTTACCAGGTGATGATATGTGAGGTTATAAGATACCAACTACAAACGCTGAAATTGCAATTGTAGTACATGATCTTCCAGAAGAGTTGGCTAAGAGAAGATAACCTCAGTCATAATCGCTACTGGTGCATCAAAAGCATTTTCTATAAATCTGGTTGTTATTTCACTCTGCTCACAGTCCACGAGGTCTGCGGAAAACTGGACGGAGGACGAGGCGACTTGGAATTTGACTCCTCCGAAGAGGCAGCACTACGGTAAGCAAATAGTGAATTTTCTATAACCTTTTTGTCTCACGCAAACAAAGTGTAAAACTTAAGGTAGCCATCTGCCATCAACTCTGTGTTCTCCCAATTTGGTGCACTTGAGTCAAGTTACTGGTATTCACCTCCATTATGCACCAACTACGGATAAGCTCCCTATCAAGAGCCTTAAACCTGCTCCCTTACCTTCTTTCCCTTTTTTGTAAGTGCTTTTGAATATATTTTTGAGCGTTCACCTACAACGAAATCTTATTTCCAACTTTCATTGCCGAATTGGTTGTCTGTGTAAAATTATCCCTTTTGACTGCAACTCCAAGTGGAAACAGCCTCATTTCATTGTGGGCAGCATAAAGAGCAAGTCTGGCGCCTTTCAGTTGTATATCACTGAGCGATTCCTTACTCAATTAACATCTTGTCATCTTGACGTTCATCTGAGTTGTATAATGCTTGCCCCTGTCATGGTTTAACCTCGAGTCTTCTGACGACATTTTGCGTACTTTAAGATGATGGGCGCACATTTACCAGAAAACTAAGTAGATTAAGGGTT